CAGGAAGCTAGCAGATGCCTTAGGCGGACGATAGACAAGGACCACTTGTAGCTGCGGAGGTCCAGACAGAGCAAAGTGAATGCACTCAAATGAAGAGGTGTGTACTGGAAATTCTTTTATCTGGAAATCTGCATGATGTATAACAGCCAGTCCCCCACCACGTCCAGAACAACGGGGCCTTTGAATGTAACTATAGCCTTGGGGGGTAGCTTGGTTAAGCGCAAGAAAGTCCATTTGGTTCTGCCAAGTCTCAGTCAAACATAAAAAATCCAGTTTCCTGTCAGTTATAATGTCATGAATGAGTGGCGCTTTATTATTTAGTGAGCGAGTATTCAGCAACATGAATGAGACAGACTTAAGGACAGATGTATTAACATGAGAGATGTCATCAACAGCCCGTTCCAAGGGCCGTAGGTTAAATAAGTGTAGGCGCGGCTCGTTCTGATGACGTCGTCGCTGGGTAGTGATAGACCGAATAGGGGTAGCCTGGGATGTCTTCATGTAAACGAACTTATGTCGAACAGCCCTGTGCACATAGGGGGGGGCGACGTAAGAGATGGAGAGATTTAATCACATCGAGGCAAACGTTACTCGGTTTGATCTGCGTGTTGAGGTTTTTGAGTTCCAGAACGCAGTACTTTAGGAAAGCCATGGTGACAGAGGAGACCGCTAGCTTGCCAACGCTAGCTAGCATTAGTTTACAAGCCGCAGACCAGAGAATCACAGCCAAGCCACAACAGAGAATGCTGCGGAGGATCAAGCAGTTACATCAGAGGTAATTACAGCTGTTGACAGTGTGGAAATCGTCAGAATAAATCCAAGGTTTAAAAGTAGCCTGTTGACCACTCTGCAAGGTAGCGTAGCAGCTGGAAAGCCACTGGTTTAGCAGATCATGTAGCAGAGCCAGAGCACACAGCGAAAAAGTTGCAGGAAGTGAGAAGGTGAATCCAACTAGTAGCGTAGCGTAAAGGCAGCAGGAGAAGAATCGCGGAGAAACTGAAGTTGTGCGTGTTTGTTTGTGAGGATGAAAAGCGGCGACAGACACGCCAGCGTCCTCTCTCCTCACGAATCATATCAAGTGCATAGATTCAACTATGAGTACTCATAGTGACCCTCAGAGAGGGGGAGCACATATCCTGCCTGGTAGGCAAACCAGGCTGTAGGTTGGATAAAAGAGGTTCCGGAAGGGAACCCGTAGCAGAAAATGACCATTAGTCATGCTAGGGCGCAAGCTCGCCTTCAAAAGCTGCCTGCTAAGGCCAGCTGAACTGATAGCAAGCGGCCACTAGCTGCCAGAACCCGTTGCTGGGAGACCACTTACAAGGAGGCCTGGTGAAGCCTACTACCTGATAACCAGAGGGCTGGCTACCTAGTGCCAGGATTTGAGAACTCGCCTAGTGAGGCCTACTACCGGGCAGCCAGTACAACTAGCTGTGCAGTTGCCCATCCTTGGGACTTCACCTTCAGAGAGGCCTGATGAAGCCTACTACCTGCCTTCAGGGAGGCCTGCTACCTGATAGCTCGCATCCGTGGGAACTCGCCTTCAGGGAGGCCTGGAGAGGCCTACTACCCAATAGCAAGCTAAAACTGGTTATTGCTATGAACCCTGATTCCGGTGTCAGTGCCAGTCTTGGGGCTCAGTCTCGGAGCGGCCTGTTATAGCCGGTCGTCTGAAAGTTTTCTTTAGGTAAGAAACTGACTGCCATGGCCGTAAGGTTGGGGACCAAGCTACAAGGCCAACCGCCTGACAGTGGTCAATCCTATTCGACTGTCCTCTCATATCATTAACGGGGCTAGCCTCCAGAGAGACCCACTGAAGCCAATTGTCTGAATGGACAGACCAAGATGGGGCTCAGGGTCAGGGAGGCCTTGCTAAGGTCAAGACCATAAATACCACTGTTTGTATACCCAGTCACTCAAGACTCACTAAGAAGATTGAGAGGCCTACTTGGCCTGAAGCAAGTCAGTGCTGTCAGCCAAAATCATATTGCCGGGGACTCGCCATCAGTGTGGCTATCAGCTAGTAGGCCCAACCAGGCCTGTCTATTCTGCTACACACATATACCGTTTGGGAACCATACTACACCAACACAAATATTAAGGCCACCCACAGGAGGCCTAATAAGGCTAGCTACCTGGTCGCAGCTGTAATGTATATCCCACAACTTTAGGACTCCCTTCCGAGGAGGCCTGTTTAAGGCCTACTAACCATCAGTGAGTCTACTGCCTGAACTACTAAGGCCAACCACCTGAGGTAAGCTGGCCTGCCGTGCCCTCTTGGGGACTGCCTATTCAAGGAGGCCTGCTGAGGCCTACTACCTAACGGCACAGCCTTCGTTGGCAGATAAGCTGTTTACAGAGCGCCTAGAGCATCCTGGTACCTAATCACATTGCCCATGTACTCAGCAAAAAAATGCAGCACCCTTTAAGCAAGGGGAGTGCAACATACACCACTCTGCCTTAACGGAGGCCCCAGAGTCAGGGGCCTACCATCTGTACACATGGGCGTCAGCTCATGGCAATGCTCTGGCTTCCTCGGGAGCGTACTTCGATAACCAAAAAGAAGTGAAGGTTAGAACTTTCCACTCGACCCGAGCCATAATGGTTATTATGAGCCATAATATTACCACCTCACCCTGAGATTTAACAGGGTGCGGGCCCGCCAGCGGCTCTAGAGGTGACAGAACTTTTATCTGTGCTCAGCCTAGGGGAGTGGGGCTTGCTTGTAAACCACCCACCTACAACCCGACGCTCAACGAGGTGAGTGGAGCCTATTCTGGCGGCCCAAATCCAAATGCTAGTTCTGCACGCCAGGGTCGGGCAGACAAAACCCAGTCTCTTCGTGAGGCGAAAGACGACCTAACCCTGCTCAAGAAAGACCCATTTTACCTTATTGCGGCCTAACCCAGGGTCTTTATAAATCATGCCTCTGCACCAAGCTGCATTACTCTTCTCGCCCCAGAATGCAGAGAAGGGGGCGGGCCTTGGCCTAACGACTCCCATGGGAGGAGGCTGTCATATAGGGATGCTAAAAACCTACATTCGCAAAGTGAAGGGCCAGAGGCAGAAATGCTTAAGCAGAATGCCTCCACTATGCCCATAGCCCTGGTGAGGGCCAGCCTGTAAGCATAGATCTACCTGAGGGCTCGGAGGAGCCACAGCCTTATGAGAATATATACAGTATATGAAGAGTTCAGATGCAAAAGCCTCTAAGTGCCATCTGAAATGTTCTTCTAGAATGATCATTTTTATCAAGCTAGTATATTTAAAGGTACACTATGTAGGAATTCCGTTTTTGTCAAACAGCGACCTGTGGAGTACTTGTACTGTCGTAAATAACGAGTGGAAATAAGGTGTGGCCCCTTTAAGAGCTGCGCGCGCCGGGTTATTTCTGTTTGATGCTCATTCTTATCCTATTTTAAGTGAAAGCCTGATTGAGTGAGACTCTTGTCCGGTTTTCTCACGCTGTCAGTTTCTCGTTTTCTTTTCCTTGACACTTCCGAGCCTGTGGTCACGTGACGGTCGTAAAGCGATACGTTCTCAAGGCATTCTCCAGGTCACATGACCTGGCCAAAGAAGGTCCGTCTTCTCCAAACTTACATAGGCGGTATTTCAAGAGGGCAGCCCCGCTCGGAGCATTGATAGTGTCAAGCGCTGTATATTGGCCTGAGGAATCATTTAAAATAACTCATGCGTCAACTGTTTTGACCAAAAGTTACACGGTGTGCCTTTAAGTTCAGTAATTTCACTTAAATGGCAATTAATAGGTCATTGTCATTTAAGTGAAATTACTGAACTTAAATATACAAGCTTGATAAAAATGATCATTCTAGAAGAACATTTCAGATGGCACTTAGAGGCTTTTGCATCTGAACTATTCATATATATATATTTTTTTTCATACGAGGGGCTGCAGAATCGCTCAGCCTACTGAAAACACAAACAGCTCAAGGGGGCGATGTATGTATGCTATACTCCAAAACTTTGTTTTTTGAGAGAGAGAGAGAGAGAGAGAGAGAGAGAGAGAGAGAGAGAGAGAGAGAGAGAGAGAGAGAGAGAGAGAGAGAGAGACCAACTACTCTACCCTGAGGTGGCTAATAGCCCGAGGGCTAACACAGGTGTGTGTAGAAAAAAAAACAAGTAGCGTAAACATTCCCATTCTTCTTTCTAGAATGACGTTCTGCCACTTAACTCTCCACTGATAACATATTTCATATATTTCCCACCCCCTTGGCGAGATCCCTCAGCAGATCGACCTGGTATACCTGCAACACCGCCATGGTGTGCAGGGCAGCCCCGGCCTGACCCGCTGGCGTGTATGCTGGCGTGTATGCTCTGCCATTCAAACTGGCAGGGTTGGAGCTCTCAGTGTCGATGTCCGCTCTGCTATTTGGCCTCAACATCAGCGAGACTAGGCCGCTGATATCGGTGGATGAGGGGAGAATATGGGTTCTTCCATGTCCTCTCGATCTCAGTATGTAGATCGGGAAGAAATGGAAGGCTCTCCTGAGCTGGTGGTTTATGACCGGGTAGAATCCGCTCTTATCGCAAAGCCAATTCCTCCCCCAATGCGCAGCCATGGCAGCTGCAGCCTGACCGCGGTGCGTTCCAAAACACCAACCATGCTCAGCATACACGGGGCAGGGTGGCTGAGAAGATTCAAGATATATATATATATATACATACATATTACTAAAAAAAAATAATCACACTCTCTACAAAAATATGAAGCAGCACAACTGTTTTCAAAACTGATAATTATGAGACATGTTTCTGGATGCTGACAATTCAGCTTTGCATCACAGTAATATATTTTAAAATATATTAAAATAGAAACCAGTCATTTTAAATTGCACTAATATTTCACAATTTTGATTTAAATAAAATGTAGCCCTGGTGAGCCTAAGAGACTTCTTTCAAAACATTTAGAAAATCATACAGACCCTAAACTTTTGAATTATAGTGTATGCTGTAGTAAATGGTTATGTGTGTGTTTTCAGCTTCAGAATCAGGAGTGTATGCGTGCTCAGATAAAGCATGCAGAGCAAGAGATCAGTGTGAAGCTGGCTGAAATACTGAGACGACAGGACGATCCGACACAGAAACAGAGGACGCTGGTGGAGGAAGAGAGACACCGATATCTCAGCATGCAGGAAAGAGTTCTCACACAGCTGGGGTACGTCACACACACACACACACACACACACACTTGTATGTGGTTTGCAGGGACTCTCCATAGGCGCAATGGTTTTATACTGTAAAAACTGTAAATTCTATCCCCTTACACTAACCCTAGCCCTAAACCTACCCATCACAGAGAACTTGTGGCATTTTTTGATTTTCAAAAAACACAGTTTAGTATGTTTTTTTAAGCCATTTGATTTACAAGGACACAGGAAATGTAATACTCATATCATTATACACATTTCCTCATAAACCATACAAGAACACACACACACACACACACACACACACACACACACACACACTCTCTCTCTCTCTCTCGGGAATCTGAAATTCACTTTCCTCTGGGCAAACAAATGCCTTTTATTCTCAATCATTCATTATACGATTCATTACAGCCCCTCTTTTAACTCATTATAGCCCTGTCCGCCCTGCTGCACGTAAACCATAATTAAATCCCGCTTTAATTTAGCTGGTTAACAAGCGTGTTCTCCAGACAGCTTTAAACATTCAAAACAGAACTCAGTGGGAATTAACGCTAGCCAGAGATCAGGAGAAGCATTAACACTCTATTTCCCTTGGTTTAATGCCAGTGCCCAGTCAGCAGAGGTCTCTGGGTGCCTGTGAGCAGTGAAACGTTGAGCCAACAAGGACAGTTTGACTTTTACACATGTGAGGCTGAGGGATGTGAAAGAACTGCGTAATTTAATTACAAAACATAAACTGTGAAAAAAAAAAAAACTATCATGAATGTACCAGAATGCACCATCATAACATAAAATCGGGTTTTTAACATGCCAAACAACTAGTGCAGACCAATTTAAAAAGCAGTGTAAAAACTGCTTACATGAAACTTCAGCATAATATTTTATTCCTGTGTTAGTGCTTACAATAACAGTCCAAAATTAACACTCACCAAGTGCCAAATGGGAGTGAAAACTGGCTAGCCTCTAACTCTTAGGAGTTGCAATACCGTAAAGCATGGTTTGAATCACAATGTAAGTATGAAAGTTATAAAAATAAACTTCTTATTACTGGTATCTTGAAACTTCTGGAATCACAAAAATAATTATGGGTAAATAATTTAATATATTGACAGTCCCAGTGCCCCATTATGCTTTTTTCACAAATTACTTTTTATGTAGTTTTTAATATAGTGTTTGTAAAATATAAAAAGTAATTTTTTTCACAGATCAAAGTGTATGGTAAATGGAGTTGACAAAAAAAGAACTGATTCTGAATAGATATGTGAATGTGTATAATGCCAGTCTATGGTCTTCATTGGCTGTCAGCGAACATTGACCATTGAAAAGTTTGGTTTGTGTCATCGACATGTCGAGAAAACGCTGTTTTCTGTGCTGCGAATGGAAATCCACTTTGCATGCACTTCCAAAGGATGAGGAGCTGAAATTAATATATGTAATTAATGGCTCTTCCTTTCTGACATGTGCCGTAAGTGGTAGACCAATTACAGCTGACTGGGGCATCTGACCAATCAGAGCAGAGTAGGCTCTCGGAAAGGAGGGGTTTAGAGAGACTGAATACTTTATCAAACTGTTTCAGAGACTGTGAGAAAAGAGGTGATGCTGCAAGGTATATTATGAGAAAATAATATTTTCTGTTTTTTTTAATTGGATGCATGTAAACCTATTGTAAGAGACCTCCAAAGCAAAATTAGAAAGCATTAAATAGCATATCAGGGACACTTTAATAAAATGTTTGAAAACAAGCAGTATTGTCATAGGGGCCTTTGAATATTGTGTTAGACAACTGAGAACCACTGATATAAACATGCATAGGTGTGACATGAGCAAAACATAGTGGCCATAATGTAAAAATTAATTCCCCCTCCCATAGTTTTCTTAAACCAGAATTTTGGCAAAATGTAAGACACTGGATGGCAAACATGTCAGGAGGATAAAGGGACATCTGCACTGCCCTCTGGTGTCACAATAGTGTCATTTCAATATATATTCACTGGATGACTTGAATTTCAATGACAAAAACGTGAATTTATGTGGACGGATTGACTCATCAGTGAAAATATGAGCATATTTGTGTAGCTGTTTGTGATATGAGTATCACGTGTGTTTGTGGGTAGGGATCTGGAGCAGTATGTGGAGACTCTGAGGACTGACTCCAGCCCTGCTGTGTCTCAGAGATCTGTGACACTGAAGGAGGTAGAGGAGGGAGCTGTCAGCCTGAGGAAGGTGGGCGAGAACCTGGCTGGACTGAAAGGTAAAATACTCAATGAAAGAGCTGCTTTCTTGTTGTTCAAGATGTCTCAGTGGCTTCCTTAGTTACAGGAAGTTTAATATTATCCGGTGCTAGACCTGCCCACACAAGTTAAAGTAATGCAACTTGCAGAAACTGTGGGCCAGCTGTACTCCTAGAGGTGTGAATTGTGGTAGATCCTCCACAATAAAGATCACAGTTGTTTATCACTTGTTTACAGTGCTATAATATTTATACTTTGGCATATTTTGTAACCTCCCACTCCGATACAATCATATATGCTTCATGACCCGACCTGCAGAAACAAGTTGAAATGTCAGGAAGTTCCCTAGCTGATGATGACACTCAGATTAACAGCAAAGCACCTTTATTTCTCTTGCAGGAGAGTTATTTCAAAGTTCCCTAGCTGATGATGACACTCAGATTAACAGCAAAGCACCTTTATTTTTCTTGCAGGAGAGTTTCCAGCCCTTCAGGCCCACATGCGAGCAGTGCTCAGGGTGGAGGTCGAGGCCGTAAAGTTCCTCAAAGAAGAGCCCCACAAACTCGACAGCATGCTGAAGAGAGTCCGATCCCTCACGGACACACTCGGAAACCTTCGCAGGTACAAACAGAGAGAGTAAGAGATTTAGACAGACGTTTCAATTGCGAATAAAACAAGATTGCGGTTTATAAAAGACTTTATGACAAACTTTATACACCTATAGACCTTATGTAGTCACGCCCCTTTTCCGCGCTGAGCTCATTGTCTCTTGACTTCCGGTCTGTATTTTCACAGCGATCTTGCCTAGTTATGAATGAACGGCTCGTTAAAAAAAATTCCCAAGGTCCATTTGTTAAGACATATGATTTACAATGCTTAGCATAAACATTACAATGCTCATGATAACTTTCGTTAACTCTACAATAAGTAAATCAACTTCACCAGCTAATAACTCCTGGACAGCGATGCCATAGAAATATACAGAGCACCCGCAAAAAAGCAAGTTCAAAGACAATATTCTAAAGATGGCGGCGCCCTCGTTTCTCTGGTGCATAAGGTCTATACTCCTTCCGATTCCAGCCCACGTATGTGTCCAGCCAGAGCGTTATGGTCTGCATCTCTCATTCATATTGTAATCATGTGTGAGCAGAGACTCTGTATAGGTTTAGACAGAGGAGAGGTCTGGAGCATTTACTACTAGTCACTTTCTTTCTCCCCCGTCAAACCTGATCAGACTCAAACCTGTTGCCGTTCTATGATGTGAAAATGTCATGAATGTTACCAGCATTCTAGAAAATAGTGTTTTATTTTTGAGCCGCTGTGTGTAATTGCAAAATGAAACAGATTTTTACACGTCCATTTAAAGCTGCAGTCCGTAACTTTTTTGTGTTAAAAATTATCCAAAATAAAATTGTTGAGCAAGTACTTAACCAGCCAGTGTTCAACGCTATCTGCTTGCCTTAGCTCGATTCAAAGCGGTAAGCTTGTAATAATGTTTTTAATTCCAGTGGTACTGGTGGATTTCCGCGGGAGATTCGAGCATGTCTTTGCGTCATTACGTCACATCTGTACACATAAAGGAGTCTCGGCTAGTAGGCTATGTTGCGCGTGAGGATGTTGGAGGTGGAGATCTATAGCCTTTTCTCACAGCACTTGATATAAATAAACTTATCAATTTGATGGCGGATCCAGAAAGGTTTAAACGACAATCACCAGTGACAACTAGGCCTACATATTACTTTTTTAAATGTCTTTTTTTTATTCTATTTTATATTCTATTTAATATCTTCTTTTTATTTAAATTAAATTACATTATGATGTGCTTTTTCATTTTCTTCTTTTTAATTGCATTTTCTTCTTTACCTTTTTTAAAAAAGGTATTACTATTCTACATTTATTTCTAATTCTATTTACATTTTTTATGTTAAAATGTATTTATTTTTATATTATATTTTATAAAAAAAAAATGTATATAATAATTTATTTTATTTTCAAATACAAGAAACCCAATATAGGACTCATAATATTCATGTCTGTAAATGTGCGGGACAAGTTAAGGGTTTGTTCAAATCTCAGTAGGATTATCAGACACTCTGTCTTCTATTGTTGAATCAAGGTTGAGCCCCATATAGCCATCTGAAGAAATCAGCTGTGATCTTCAAAAAATTGCACACTGCAGATTTTAATCCTCAAAAACAGGATAGAAATCATAAAAATAAGCTTGTGGTTTTAAATTTGACTAGATTTTAGTGAATTCTGAATGTTTCCCTCATTGATTTCGGTTTCAACTATTATTTGTTCTCTAGGTGTGCCACAGATAGTCTGCTAAATCCCTCTGACTCTGTTCCTTCGTCACCTGCCTCTGAAAAAGCAGAATCGCCTATCGTTGAATCCCTTGAGCCTGCCTCGGTCATACCTCAGAGCTCCATAGTGAGGTCAGAGGTTATGACGTCAAGTCCTATGGTGATCCACCATGTCCAGGCCTCTCCTGTAGCCTCACAACGATCCCAGAAATCAATAGCACCATCACCCATTCCCCCTGCTGCACAGAGACGAGAGTCTACACCTTCACCCACCAAACAGCTCAAAAAACCTTCACTTGAGCAGACACAAATACCAAATAACAGCAGTAATGGAGTCTCTGCTAATGACATTCATAGTAAAGGTCCTTCTCCAAACTTGTTAATTGAGGAGATCCACGCCAACCGCAGCAAGAGCAAGAACAGGGCTGTGTCGATCGAGGTGAGGATTTGACCTACATACTACATAAACTCCACGGACAAACTCCAAATGAATTTAGTTTTGGCCTAATTTTGTTTGGAATAACGTAACACTAGTTAGCTCTTCAATTTCACTTAAAGTATATCGCAGCCTTTGGGTGAAAATGTGCATTCTCTTGTTTACTTACTGTTTTGTTTGGTATCTTCAGGCTGCAGAGAAAGAATGGGAGGAGAAGAGACAGAACATGGGTCATTATGATGGGCAGGAGTTTGAGCGGATGCTCCAGGAAGCAGAAGCCAACATGCTGAGAGGAATACCAAACCTCGAGGTGCCCAGCGAACACGAGGGCTCTCCTTCTCCTCCTGCAGTGCTTCCTGCCTCCCTGGAGGGGGTGATAGAAAAAAACGAACCTACAGCAGCACCAACAGAACAAGGTAAGAGACATAAAGAAATGTTAGTGGTCTTGAGACTACTATTTGGTGATGTTTATGCTCATTTGCTCATTTGCTCATTTTCTTTTTGCAGATGACAATCAGCCAAACTCTGAGAAACCTACTAAGACAGCTCCAGAGAAACCTCCCAAACCTCTGGAGAAGCCATTTAAGCCAGCCTTGGAGAGACCTCTTAAACCCAGCCTATCCATCAAATCCAACCTAGAAAGACAGAGTAAGACTCAGGAAAAAGTTAAGCTTCAGACCACAGAGAAAGCTAACAAGTCCCCTCCTCCACCCCCACCTCGACGAAACTACACCACCAACACTGGGATGACCACCACCCGCTCTGGAGAGGTCATTTACACCAGCAGGAAGGAGTCTGTTACGGTAAAAGTGTATTTGTTGAACAGATTTTTTTTTACTCTGTCTTAAGTACAAATAATACAATTAAATGTCATTTTAAATTTGTATTATATTTTAAAAATAGCTGTTACAGGGTTTTTTTCAACTGCTTACACACATTTTCAAAACTTTGCCTCTTTCCCCCCCCCCCCAAAAACTTTACACTTAAATCCAAGAATTGCACACACAAAATGCAAAATGCCTCACATCTCTTGCAAAATGAAGCACTGCATTCAAAATCTCACAAACACATCTCAAAAGCAAACATTTGTCTTACGTTGCAAACACGTTTGCCATAATATTATATTTTTGGATATATCATTTACACACAGTTATTCAAAAGCTAAATATCTTTTTTCATGAGCTCCTATGTAGATTTCTGAATAAGATTGAAAGTAATTGGCAGAGAGAGGTTAAAAAATTAATGGTAAACACGAAAGCAAGATTGAAACCAAACTATTTATTTTCTTACTGTAAGCATTTGTGGTTGTGAATACATTATTACACAGTCCGAAAGTAAATATATACATCAACCATGTTTAGTTGGACAGAAACCAAGCTTAATTTAATAGGCCTATTCTAAAGCCATGATTGGTTGGTGTTAAGTTAAGCAATGAGTGTTTGCACATGTGATGAGTTAGTGTGAGACACTGATGAATTAGTGTGGCATTTTGATAGTTGTGTTTGAACAAGGAAACCAAGATACTTCCTGTTAGATTTTTGTGTGTTACATAGATAATTAGTGTATGGTTTTGCAGATTTGGTGTGTGGTTCTGGTGTTTGAGTGTCATGTTTCAGAAATTAAAAACGAGTAAGGATTTTGTGTGTAAGCAGTTGAAAAAAACTGTAATATAAAATAAAATTATTCTATAAATATAATGAAATAAAAATGTTCATTATATTAAAAAAATGATTAATATCATTTGTTAGGAGGGTGAAGAGGAGTCCAACAGTACAGCGTCTCAGTCTGAATCAAAGACCCCTCCAGAGGTGAAGCGCAAACCCATTACTCCTCCACCTATCGCTGCCTCGGCTATCACTGAGGAAGAGGATGAGGGAGACAAGATTATGGCAGAGCTACAGGTGAGAGACACGCAGAATCTCAAACATACATACACACGCTCAGACCTGTAGCAAGCATAACATAATGTTCTTATTGGGTATAAACGTTAATACATGCTCACTGACTAATTATAAGTGTTTTGATCTTAAAATGTCTTGGGTGTGGAATTGCTTGGTGTGGGTGTTAATATGCTTTGGCGTGTGTGCCATGTGGCTCATTCGGTGGCAGTTTCATTTCCCTGCACTAGTTTAGCTTCTGTTCCCTACAAATCTGTAGATACACAACCTAGTTTTCATAAATTCTAAAAAGAAAATTCAAAAATATGTATATAGCATTGTTTGCAGTTCTACAATCCAAGATCAAATTATTTCCTTTATACCTTTTAAATTAGTATACATTTTTATATAGAATAGAAAGTACGTTGTAATCAGAATATATGTAAAACAAATTCAATTATATTTCAAATAATACAATTAAATATATATATATATATATATTTAAATTATGTCTAATTTAATAAAAACATTTAAATATCGTAGCACATACACATATTCAGATAATAATTTGATAAAAACTCACTGTAGATCATTTCTATTACACGTACAGTAATCTTGAACAGGTTTGCCCAATTTAATGATGGGCAGATTCTTACCTTTAACTCCCTGCCTCACAAATTCTTCTTCTCAGGTTTTCCAGAAGTGCTCTGTTAAGGAGGTAGGGCTCAAGGGTTTGGTAGAGCCACAAATCAGAGAGCTAAGACCTGGGGTCTTACTGCCCCTTAAAGATAAGAAGGTAAAGGATATGATGTCCTTTAGTAGACCCTCCAACTGCCTGCCTGTACCAGCCGCTTGTCCCTGATGGCTGTCCTTTCACAATGCTTGATTTGCTTTCTTACCCTTTGCTAACTTCCTCTGTACACTCTTGTGATGGGTATCTGACACAAAATGTTCTCACTGTTCTTTAAGTTTAAATTCTGTTCTTTTCCTTTTATTTCTACTGAACTCATGAACTGTGCTGCTTGTAGTGATGTAGTTGGAGCCGAAAGGGAAAACAAACATAATTGGCTTTGTGTGCTCGGAGTCATCCAATCAATAAACTAGATTTTCGACACTGCTATCAAAGGGTGTTGTGTGTGTTTTCTTTTTTTCACATTCATTGTAATAAAAAGGTATCTCAGTTGGACACAATCCAATTTCCAAAAACTTTATTACCTAAGGTTACATGATTTTCAAACATTTATCGTTTATAATGTACTCTTGCAGCTTGAGTTATCTAACCAGGTAGCATTAACAAATTGTCCTGGCCAAAATCATGTTATTTAGCAGATTTATGGGATAATTATCAGGACCTACTTTAATGTGGCCATCTAGTTTTCTCTTTAGAAACGTTCCAAACCATATGCATCAGTAGAATGTAGCTTAGACTTGGTTTATTCGTGAGGATTTTAGAGGATATTTTCAGCTAGCAGTCTGGAGTTCAGAATTTGTTCTTTGATCTTCTCACTTTGCTGCATGCCTGCTACTATATAAGCCTCCTTACCTATTTGATGGATTTTCAGTCTCGCTTTTACTCTCTTTACCTTCGTTGCACCTCTTCACAGAACATTTTCACAGTGTTTTCTCTCTGTTAACAATTGTGCAGTCTTATGTACAGGTGACATATTACAGAAAAACAAACTTTTGATCTCAAAATTGTATTAAGCATACTTTATTTGGGGAAAAAAAGTTTTAGAAAAAGTTGGAAACATGCATTACAACTCTAAAATTAAGTTTTCATTTGTTGGTAAAGTTTGTACCTGTAATTTTGGGCTGTTTATTCAGATCAGTTTAAAAATTCCTTATGCCTAGCTCCAAATTATGATCTGTTATTAAATTATTAATCCAATTCATTGCATATTTAAAAATATGTCTAACATTAATATAGAGAAGAGAAATGGTCTGTATTTCCAGCTGTAACATTATTGGCATCATTATGATTAGAAATTTGGTTGATTCTATGACAATTCTTAAAATGAAACATATTTTAATATGATAGAATGTATGATCGAAGAACGTGTTTCTTCAGTGGTCTAGAGTAGTGTGTAGCCTAAGATTGTTTCTTTGTGAAGTGATGTTTTTCCCCACAAACCACAGAATACAGAAAACCAAGATGGCAAGAATCCTGACACGGACGAGAATGGCAACAATACAATTCGTCAGAGTCCTGGGGTGAGCGGCAGTATTTATTATTATAATGACTAAATTATCATAAACTTATTGTAAACTCCAACAAGAAATTTATGATAAGATAATGTTATGATGGTATAAGCTCTGAAAAAAAACTGTCTTTGTGACAATCAGTCATTAAATAATTATGAGATCCCCTTTCACCAAAATGGTTATTAGCTCCCCAATCAGGTTACTCCAAAGGGTGTGTCCTTGCAATAGTGTTCTGTGAAACCTCACAAAGACCCTGTAAAGCCAAGGCCAAACCAATTGTAGAAAATATAATTAATTCCAGATAGGATTCATAACGAAGTTAACTCAACTAATGGAAATTTTCTTTCTTTTTTCTGACCTTTAACCTTTTAAGGTCATCTACTATGTCACAGCTCAGATCAAGGGGACTTCATCAGTGTCCGAGGAATCAACAGAGCGTAGAGATGCATCACAGTCTCCCCCATCACAGGTGTCACATGTCAATGCTTCTGACCAATTCCAAAGCCAGCTGCAGGTATCCACTAACAAATTTGGTGCCCTCAAAAGTAGCAGCCCAGCCAGCTCTTCTAGCTCTCTGCACCAAAATCAGCTGTTTCGTTCAGCCTCGTTGAATTCAAATCCACCCTCTCCATTGGAAGAAGTTCCAGGTAGTCCAACCAAAGGGAAAGTTCATGTGGTCAAGGCTGCTCAAGTGCAGGTTAGCATAGAGGAGAGGGTAGAGTCTCCAACAGCAATTTGCTCACCAGTCTCCTTTGGAGACACTGAACACATTCTTTCTAAAGCAATCCCTGTTGGGGATGATTTGGCAAAACAGAAGCTTCTGTTTGGTCTATCCAAAGTGAAGGAAAAGAAATTTGAAGAAATTGAGGAAAATGATGAGACCTTTCTCAGTCCTGATCTGCCAGGAGAAGAGCCACCTCCCCCTCCTCCTGATAACTTTGCCTTCATGATCACTAATACCAATGTACAAGCTCTGTCCACTGGAGAGTACCATCAGCTTGTCAACGCCAAGAAAGGTTGTGTGCAGACGGTAACTGTTGGCAGCAAACAACCAAGTGCATCTGACAGTGGCTCAGCATCAGGAGGTAATGCCAATACCAATGGTTCCCCTGGTGGTGAGCACTCAAGTAAAAAGCCAGTTATCATCATTTTTGATGAGCCAATGGACATCCGCTCAGCTTACAAACGCCTCTCTACCGTCTTTGAATGTGAGGAGGAACTAGAGCGGATGCTTGCAGAAGAAAGAATAGATGAGGAGAATGAGGAAACTGAGGATGAAGGATGGACTAGAGGATTGCAGGTCAAACAGAATGGAGATGGTAGAGATTCTGGAAAATTTACTGGTTCAAATTCTTCTGCAGATGTCACAGACGGTCAAGTCATGAACACTTCATCCTCAACTTTATCTGAGGGAGGGGCATTAGAAGATGTGAATAGTGATGCAAAGCAAGATGGAAAGAAGAAGTTCAAGTTTAAGTTCCCCAAGAAACAGTTTGCAGCTTTAACGCAAGCCATTCGTGCTGGAAGCAAAACTGGCAAAAAGACTTTGCAGGTTGTTGTCTATGAGGATGAGGAAGAACCAGACGGAACTGTCAGACAACAAAAAGAGACCAAGAGGTTTGAAATTGCTTGCTCCAAAACAGAGTCTTCAAAATCAAATCCACAGGAACCTAATGGACGAACTAACGAGATTCGTAAGAGTACCTACAAAACCCTTGACAGTCTAGAGCAAACAATAAAGCAGCTTGAAAACACAATTTGCGAAATGGGGCCCAAGTCTTTGGAAGACCCAGAAAGCTTGGTGAACCCTGACACTCAGGACAACAAGTTTGGAGAGAGTCCAGGGCACTCAGAGAAAGGACTTTCTCCCAAAACCTCGATTCCTAGGTCGACGTCTGCCAGTAAAGGTCCTGGTCTCCGAAAAAAGACCAAACCACAGCTCCTTCCTCGGCCTGCCATCATACCAACTACAGGGGTTTCAGTCACACCAGTTCCCACCCACCAGGTCTCTCTCTAGCTCATACTACCTTAACAAAGACTATGGATCTGTCCCTCTCCTCTTGCCCATAATAGTTCCACCCTTTCCAGTGACTTCTACAGATCCTTAGCCTCTCCTGTGGTGGAGGCTACCAACTCTGGGATCTGAACTTTTTAACACCTTCACATATTTTTATAAATATGGTGTGTTTATTTCTGGTGTGGTGTTTCATGTATAAACCTTTTTGTGTTTACTGATGGTGCTCTAATATTGGGTTAAGGTAGCCACAACGATTTTCACAGTCCACAGTCTCACATTCTTTATGGTTCCTTTTTGTGGATTCTAAGACAGTCCTCAAAGAAACTTTGTTGGTATTCTGGGCTGGTTTGCATGCCTTCTTCTTTTCTGGTATACATACTCTACAGTGTTCACAGATGTGCTGTGCAAGCTTTGTCTTGCTGTGATTTAGTTTAAAACCCCCTGAAATATGGCTCTCATTTTTTGTTTCTTTCTTTTTATCCCTTTTCTCTTCTGTTTGGTTTAAATCTTTTTTGCAGAATGCCAACGTGGTCTCACCTACTAGTCGGATGCCTGTTTCTGCCAAGGTGCGGCAGCAACCGGGCACCTCAGACAAAGAGAGGGCAACAAAACCGCAAAAGCTACAGGACTCTCAGAGGCAGTTTCGCCAGGTAGTCTTATCATAGGACCACTTATCTAGTCAAAAAGATACACACACCTAGGCATACACTCGAGAGGAAAGTTAGTTCTTGTAGGGGATATATTTAGAGGGAAAGGAACTAACAAAGAACCTGATGAGACCAAACAACCTGTTCTTTGGTGAAAAGCCCGGTGCCGAAAGCTGTTTTTGAACTGTTGACGTTTTCTTCTGCTACATTTTTTGAATGGCTGTGACCGAAGGCAACTGACTGTTATCGCATAATACCATCAAATGCTTCTGCATGTTTGCTTTGCTTGTGGCTTTGGTGCAGTAGAAGACAAACTAATTTTACAATAGTGAAAGAAAGATATAAAAATACTACAGCCACTGCTTACCTAACACTGTTTGATGCTTAGACTTGGGTCTCTTTAACTAAAAACCACTGACATCTAACCCCTACACACTCCAATGCCTGTGACAATTCCCTTGCAAGTCAGGATGCTTCTCTACTTAACCCATTTTTGGACCCTTTCCCTGTTTACCTCTCGGAGGAATCCCCAAACCCTGGCCCCACTGCCCAGGGTCCACAAATCCACTCTGTCCCTATTATCCTGTGGATGCCTTTCCAAATTGTACCTCCTCTATTCCTTCTGGAGCCTCATATGGTCTTGAGTACTGGTCGGTTGCACTTACACTGCGCATTACTCACTCTAAAACTCATAATCCTACCATCTTTCATCTTCCCTCTCCTTTCCATCTGACAGTCTACTTAAAGTGATATTTTTCTGTATTCTCATCTTGTAGACAGATAGTTTTTTGTGTGTGCCTTTAGTACTTTCACTTATATATGTAGCTTCTGTGTCTTTGATAATCTGTCGTGAATAACTGTAGATCCCAGTAGTATGATTTTAAACATGCTTAGAAATTTTGCGTATTTTAATCAAGATCCCTTTGTTGACAATCAGTGTGTTTTGGCATCTTTGTTCGCAGGCTAATGGAAGTGCTAAAAGATCTGGAGGAGATCCCAAATCCACTTCTCCTACTGTACCTGCTTCTAAAATTCCTGCTTTTTCCTCTAGTATGGGAAAAGGCTTGTCCCAGTCTGATTCTACTAATATTGTTAATTCTTCTCTTTTATCTTCCTCCTTTCCCGCTAGCAAATCTTCTATCCCTCCTTCTCGATCCAGTTCCACCCCCTCATCTCATATCCCCTCCCTTTCTAATGGTTCTTTAAAATATGCCCCTCCCACTCACAGCACTAAAGGCCTCTCTATTCCCATGCAGACACAAAATGGTCGACCTTCCACCTCTTCTTCCTCTTCCTGTTCCCACTCCCCTTTGTCCCCGACTATGTTGAGTCAGAGTGCGAAGAGTATCCGTACCATTCACACACCCAGCTTCACCAGCTACAGTCGGCAGCACAATGGGAGTGCCGGTAAATCAGCTATCCCAACAGTAACTGTCGCTAAGGATGCTGCGTAAATTGCTTTGCTGCTTTGCAACCATTTGTTTATCTCTTAATGAGGTGGAGTCACTCCTGATTTACTTTGATTCACTTTTAAAAGTTTTTTTTTTTTGTGATTTTATTTGTTTGAACAGATCATATTGTTACATGAGAGTGAACTTTGTTTTGTCATGACTTTGGCTATTGCATGTTATTATTTTCTCTGTTCAATTGAATGGCCATCCTCCCTCCATTATTCAGTGTTTTAAACTTGAATCTCTGCAAATCATAAACATATAAAAAGATCAACTGTTTTATTTTTAAAGTAAAACGTTTAATTGCAGAGAGCAGGCTCTTGATCAAGAATTTTACAGAGCACTTCATTTGAAAAGAATATTTATTTTTCATACAAGTTGAAGAGAGGCTAATAAGTGTTAAAGTTAACATAGTAAAAAGTATGTAAACAATGTTTTGGTTATTAGCATCCTGTAAATGATTGTAGATTATTTTCATTTTGCAGTTTTAAATAAATTGACAGACATTGGTTGTAGCCATAATTAGTGGAAAAGTACTGTAAGTATACTAACCATTAACAGAAATTGTCAAACATTGTCGGGTTTTTTTCTTTGTCTTTTTTACATGCACTGCCAATGTCTTTAAGATTTATTGTTATAAATTGAAAACAGTTTTGCATTGAACAGTTGTCTGTCTATTCAGTAGTTGCCTATTTGCCAAAGTTTGTAATTTACATCCTTAAAAATGACTATATATACTGTGTTAGACACTATGTACATTTAGGATAGGTTATACCTGGCTTAACCTACCCATGTCAAAAAATCCCTGATTTACCCATGCAGTCTATGGCTCTTAAATTAATGAGTATTGATGTCTAAATGTAAACTAAAAATTGTAGTGATTGATAAAATTGCTCTCTACTTCATATGTATATACTGTAACATCTCTATTTCAGAGATTGTGTTTAGTTTTGTTAACATATTGTACCAAAGTTTATTTCTATGCATGCCTATACACAATTGTAGAGAGAGAATGTAATAGAAGAAAATCATGCTTGCACAGACAGATTTTGTAAATAAATATGTTTGGTTTTGTATAGCTTTAATTGCAGAAGCAATCTGTGCAAAAGAGTGTAGGTATTAAAACAATAAAGTTCTGCATGCTTGTCGTTTACATTGCCTCTCGGCTGTGGTTTCTCCACTTCAACACTGCAAGTCCTTCTATTAAACATTTTGGCAGATAGTTCAGGTGACTTGTGTTTTTTATCACATTGTCTTTTACACCCATACACTTTCATAGTAATTACATTCTTGTAAAGTAAACATGTTGTGAACTGTACATTTGGACAAATTTTACTGAATGTATGTATGTAATGTGTGCAGAGCTGTTGGCAAAAGGTGGTTATTTTGATAAAACGAAAATATAAAGTTTTAAGTTTTGATTTGTGTAAAATATTGGTAATATCCTCATGCTTGTGTTAATTTATAGTTACAATGACTTTACTGTTATACTAAAATGTGTAGTATACATAGGCTATACTTTAGGAATGTCCAAACTTATGGCCGATACACTATATGACCAGCTTTCTTACAATTTTTTTATAACTTAGTAAACCTAACTGGATTGACACACATTTCAACTTTACTGTATATATGAACTATGCCATGTTTGTCTTATAAAGTGTAAGTTATGAAGTTGTAATGATCACATACAGCAGGTTAAGTGACCAGTAGAGGGTGATGTGTGTGTTAATGGGGATTTTGTGAAAGGGCTGATTCTACGTTAAAGGAGTTCACACATCTGCATGTAATTTTTGTGTGATACCTCCTACATGAAGTCAATGCATATATGACTAAATGAGGAAACAGATATGAGCACAGACATTCAGCTGAGTTGGTCAATAGCCAAACGAGGTGTTTATCATTATGTGCTGGCTGCTGAGGAAGTCTTAGTCTCTAAACCTTCATGTAAGTAGATTTTTGTATTTCATATTTTGTATTGATTGTAACATTTACCTTACTGTTCAGTGTATGTTATTTCCAATATATATATATATAATTCTTCAGGGTATTTTTAGATAGGCTAATAAGGTGTGTGTGTGTGTGTACACACACACACACACACACACACACACACAACTTATTACCTAAAAATACCCTGAACATTTTTCTCTCTTGCTATTCATGTGGTTTCAAATTATAATAATGCATGCATTTTCGTCGTAGATAAGTTATATATAATATATAGATCTTTTAAATTCAAAGAAATATGTTAGAAATATGAAATATGTTTCAATGAAATATGTTCTTATGTTTTAAAAAACATTTACCCACACTGTGTCACTCTCTGTAGTTCTTGAGAAAATAATATTGCTAAAACCTGACTGATTCTGAACCTTCTGCAAACAGCAGATCAGTCACAAAGTATAGACCTGCAATATGTCGAATCACTCAGTGGAGGGGATTTACCTCAGCACTCATGAGGAGAACATCCTGTTCGCAACCTTCTACATTGTCATCTTCATCATCTCAGTCCCCAGCAATGCCTTGGCACTTTGGGTGTTCTGCCACAACAACACCAACAACACCCCATCCAAAGAGTTTCTGAAGCACCTGGCTATAGCGGACATGTCTTACGTCCTGGTGCTCCCCATGCGAGTGATCTACCACATCTCAGACAGTCACTGGCCTCTTGGTGAAGGGTCCTGTCGCGTGGTAGGTTTCCTGTTCTTCGTCAACCTCTACTGCAGCATGTACTTTATGACCTGCATCAGTGTAGACCGTCTGTTGGCTTGCGTCTTACCATACAAAACTCAGAATCTGAGAAAGACCAAGAATGCCAAAGTGGTCTGTGCGGTCTTGTGGGTCATGGTGACCATTTCCATGGTGCCTGTCCTGTTCTCCAAAAAAGAAGTGACTAGAAAATGGCAGAATGTTACAGTGTGCGAACAGCTGTACATAGAGAAGTCCACTAATCCCACCGGCGCGGTAGTGTCCACTGCTATTGCATTCATGATACCTCTGGTCACCCTGAGTGTCTCTTACATTCTCATATTTTGCAAAGTCAAACAAATGAGTTTTCAAGAAAGGACGCCTACTCAGCATAAGGCAATGAGAATGATCGTACTTACAGTGGTTAACTTCTTGATTGCATTTGTGCCCTATCATATTCACCGATTTTTCTTTATCATACAGCAAGAGGACATGTCAAGGTCAGAATCCGAAAGACAAATGCTGCATTTGGGAAATCGAATCACCTCAGCTTTAACATGCATAAGTGGCGTGTTGGATCCTGTCATGTACTTCTTTCTGGCTAGAAATTACCAAGAAACCCTTCTGAAGCTCTGTGGTAGAAACCTCAACGATGAGCAATCCACCGCATGATCAGGCGAGAAATCTTCTCCGCTGTTAACTACCAGGCACGATGAAAATTAGTATCTGTTAAACAAATGTTTAAAGTGAAAGTAGAAGTAGAAAAAGTATGGCTGATAATGATTGAGGTTCATTCAGAAACCTATGAATCATGACATGCAATTCGATTCCCAAATGTGGAACTCCCATTTCCAGATTTCAAGATGACAAAATCTCATATGTCATATGAGATTTTGTCATCTTGTAATACACATGACAATGACAAGGCTATCTTCGTGTTTATTTAACTTATTTCAGCATTTTCATTTATCAATATTTATGATATCATTTTTGTATATGCCACTTTTAGATGTTCAAGATCTGAATAAAATATTCTTTCAAAATCTTACATCTTTCAATGTCCTCACAAACATATTTTAAACACCATTGTTGCATATTGTTTGGTTCTTTGAGGTCGTTATTATTTTTGTATTTTATTTGAATTTGAAAATGTAATTGTTTTATTTTAATTGCATTGCATGGTTGATTGTTCCGTGTACATTTTCACTATTTTATTTCCCATTTGGAAAGGAATAACCAGAAAGTATAATATGGCTTGTTTTTTCCCCACTTTGTTAAAAGGAAATTATGGCTCGATATCCGTTTTTTTAATGGCTTAAATATTTAAAATGCAGTTGTAAAATTTTGTTGTAAAGAACGTGAAAATCTCTTTAAGTAATTTAAAGTCAAGTCAAGTCACCTTCATTTATATAGTGCTTTTAACAATATAGATTGTTTCAAAGCAGCTTTACAGTGATATAGGAAATTAAAGTAACAGAGATTGTTTTGGCTTTACAGCAGCTCTAGAATAAAGTTATTGTCCAGCTAAAGTTAGTTTTGATTGATTCACTTCCGTTGCAAAGATCATAAGTTATTAACTTAATGGCCGTTTACACGACACTGTTCTAACAGAAAACCCTTAATGCGCTCATTTGCATGACAACAGTGTTTGGTGGCTCGAGAACGCAAACCTTGAAATAGGTTTCAAGGTGCAAGCGTTGAAAAATTTTGAAAAACATTATCATCTCCGCGTAAACTTCAAAATCGCGAATCTGTGAAAATGCTGAAATACATATTACATGTTCAATCTATAGGCGCATAGTTTTTCTTTACAAAGTGACATCGCCAACTACTGGCTTGGCAGCATAATACAGCGTTTTTAATTGTTTTTGTAGATCTGTGTGAACAGGGATCGTTTTGACTACGTTGTTGTCTGTACGCAAAAGACGCAGAATAAAAACTTTTCAGCTTTTAGTACATTGTTGTTGTGTTGAAGGGGGTGGATACCGGAATCCACTGCCGTTTCAAAATATATAGTGGTTGGTAATCGAGTTATTACGAGTTGAATGACTTCTTCAAGCTTATGAGATTTACATGTTTGTGAGAGACACCTGTTAAAATATATATATTTACTCTTCTAGCTGGCAATGTCATTGGGGGTCACTCAAGTCTGTGACTACTGACTATTCAAGCATTTACTATACTTTTCATCTTCAGTCACTAGTGAATAATGACGAATATTGTCTGAACCTCTTACTGAGAGAAAGTATATCAGTATGTTTTGGGAAAGTTTCCTGGTCAGAGCTCCACCAAATCCAACCTTGAAGAAGCTGTGTATCACTGTGTGTGTAGTCATGGGACCTGACATTCATAAGATGAACAACAGGCATACAGGGGAGGTGAAATAACCATTTGTCATCCAGAAAATCAATAGAGATATTCTTCTGACGAACAACCATATGTGGAAATTTTCTATGTTTATTAATGAATGAATGAATGAGGCATTTATATAAGGCTTTCATATGTACTACTGTACACCCAAAGAGCTTTACAATCATATCAGGGGAATAAGGGATCTCTCACACCACCAGTGTGCAGCATCCACTGAAGATGATGCGACGGCAGCCATACAACTGCACCAGTGCGCTCACCACACACACCGGCTATAGGTGGAGAGGAAAGAGAGTGATAGAGCCAATTCAGTGGATTTATCTGAGTCTTAACCAATCAGAATCATTCAGCCTGAAGTAATGCTGTAGCTTAGTGACCTGGGTAAAGTATAATTGCTGTGGTTTTGTGAATGTACGGCAGAACAGCCTACAAACTCCTTGCTGAGTGTTGAAGCTGACTTCTGCTAATAAAACTGTAATCTATTCTTCAGTAAAAAGGTCTTCAATTGACTGCATATCTCGACTCCTGGTCTTCATTCATCATATCTGGTCCTTGGGTCTTTAACTGTAAAATCCCCTACAGTGTAAATATACCCTTAGATATTTGAGTGACTAATAATCAACATTTAACATGTTAAAAAATATTTATTTCATCTTATCCGTGTTATATTTAATCTGCAGTGCTACAACAATGTGAACTTTTATTAAGATCCGTTTGGCCGATAATATGAGGAGAGTTCTCCGCATGATAGATCCACGACTGGCAGATCAACATGCTTTTCTCTCTAATGCGGTAGGAAATTAAATTAAATGAAATGTCGAGGATGTTAACTGTGACAAGTTGATTGACAGGCCAGTTTACGGTGACAGGATGCATGTAAAGAGAGTAAAGATGTAATTTTATGACTTGATATGTCCCAAAGCTTGCCTCCATTCGAGATCGCATACTCTCTTGAGTACTTATTTTCAATAAGTAATTGCTTCAAGACCACTAAAAAGTATTTTCTATTCATATGTGTAGTATGAATGTAATCCGGACATACATTCACCATGCTGCCCTGTCATTATCATGTGACCTATCAGCATCAGTTGTAAATGGTAAATGGTAAATGGACTGCATTTATATAGCGCTTTCACAGACCCAATAACCACCAAAGCGCATAACATACATAGCGCGAGCACGGCAGAGAGGGAGAGAGCGAGAGACCTTGCGAGTGTGCCTCACGAAAGCTAGTCAACCCGCCACCCCCCCCCCCCGTCAACAATCCAGTCACCAAGATATACCTCCCTGAAATGACTTCTTGCAGGTTGGGATGTCTCCCATTGTTGATTACAAAGCCGGTGCTGGATGAACAGCGAGCGTGCGCGTGCGACAGTAGGCTGTGGTAGGGTTAAATTATTTACGACAGCAATAATGGACAATTCTGCTTCCAACCTGTAGGGCGACCGCTGAGGAAAAGTTACTTGGTGTTGCTTTAATTAAGGTATAACCACGCTTGGGACAAAGACTCGTAAATTAACTAGAGCAACCTTCCCACGTGAACATTTCACCTTGCTTATTGGTCCAGTCAACCCTTAGGGGTTGGATCTTTGTCAGGCTTTATTAATACCACAATACTTAAAGGTATTTAGCAGTGATATGGTCAGGCCTTTTTAGTTTGGTGAATACCAAAAAAGAAAAAAAATATGCTTATGATTATTATGACTATTATTTAGATTATTTCTATGATTAATCTCTTCAAACATATACTTTTTTATCAATCCAATTATGCATTTTCTTTTTGTCTATTGTATCTTTTGATATCATCATATATTCATTGTTCATACTCATATTCTATTCCAGACCAGACCTTTCATTCACATCCGCTCTGAAAATGTAGCTAGCCTACCGGTACATATCTTCTGCTGTCACTATTTTGAGACATCATGTCCCTCTGCATAGTCATGATCTGTTTGTGGTTTTACTTGAAATTAAAGTACAGAAAGTACTTCCATAAAGTCCACGCATGGTAAAAAATACTTATTTGAATCTTTCTGCATCTATAGTGTTAAAACCACAACAAGTGGCGGCAGCTGGTCTTTCAAAGAGGGGAAGCTAATTTTCGACTACACTTGCCAAATCCGCAATGGGACTGAGCTCGAATAGCTTCAGCGTCAGCGACTTTTTATAGTACAAAATCGCTGTCTATCAAAAGGAGATGCAGTCTTTCGACAGACCCTCCAATCATCACGCAGAAGCCTGGAGTCCAGGCCAGCCAACTCCTCCATTCACCCCCAGAGACGCTGAGCGTCCGTGGGTGGGACATAATTGCAGCATTTATCCAATGACCGTCTAGTTTCAAAGCACAGTAAAAAAAAATTCAAAGCAGCCCCATTGAAGTCAATGGACACTAGGCTTCAACAGGGAAATGCACTGTGACTCTACGGGAATGTATGAGAAGGAAAATGAATCAGCCGACCTGCTATATGTAGCTGATTATGAACGAAGTCGTCTTCGAGATGAACGTGTTCTAACGCATTTTTAGTAAATAAAATGTTAACACAATAGTACATATTTGACCATTAATTTTTTGACATTATAGGGGAAGCAAAGCTTCCCTTGCAGTCTTAAAGAAATCCCCACTTACTGTATGACGCAGGGATGGATAACGGACCGGGCCTATGGGGCCAGTGCCCAGGGGCCCTTGACTACCAGAAGCCCGGTGTAGTATTTGTGGAGGAATAATAACACATGCAGAGACGAAGCCAAAGTGAGTGCCGTTTAATTCGTAGTTCAAGAGTGCCCCATTATGGAGTTAATATTGTGCCATAATTAAGGCGAGATACGGCAAGCAAAAACATCGATTTTTCATGCAGTGATCTGTTTTGAGATTTTGGGCTAATTTACTCCTTCAATATGTGTTCTTTCAAGCTGCTATAAAGAAAATGTTGAAAATATACATTAAGATGTTTATTTTATTACATTTTGTTTACTTGCGGCAGTAAGTTTCTCCCGAATTTACCAAGAAGTTAGCATTCCAACGCGTCATGCCGCCATTCTTAAATATATTACATATATATAATTCTCATGAAGGAAAATCAACAGTGCAACATGTCTCTTCATGTGGCCTGCTCAACCCCTGGAAACTTGGGCAGCCAGTGCGTCTCGTGCAGCATTCCCTGACGCTTCGTTGAGTGCCATTGGTTCATGGGGAGGATGGGGGTCAATATCGTCCCTGGCAATATCCTCGTCAGGATCTGAGGTCTGAGATCTGAGATCAATAACCTGAGGTGCAAAGGTAGGTTTGACTTCCAGTGCCCGGAAGAGAGTTGACCTCCACCTTGTTTTCATTACTCCAAAGGCCCACTCAATTATGATGTATGCCTTTGATTGGCGGTAATTGAAGCGTTGCTGCACTCGTCCACCTACTGGCTCTTTGTATGGAGTGCGCAGGCATATTGGGGTCTAGAAGCAGGGGTATCCACCATCACCCAGAATAATGTATCCTGGCGGGGGGTAACGTCCAGATGTGTAAAAGGAGCTGTTTTTCATCACACGCGTGTCATGGACTGACTCTGGGTAACCCACGAAGATGTCCTGGAACCTTCCATTTGCATCACATATGGCCTGCATATTGATGGAGTAAAAGCCTTTGTAGTTAAGGTAGTCTGTAGTTCTGGTGGTTTAATCTGAATGTGTGTGCCATCTATCGCCCCTACAACATTGTGGAATGCAGGGGTCCCCGATAGAGCCACAAATCCTTGACCCACAGCTTGCAGGTCATGTTGTGGGAAGGAGATAGCTTTGTTTAAATTGTTCCAAATATTCTGTGCCACCTTGTGTATTACTCGATATACTGTTGCCTTGGGGACATTGAAAACTTTTGAAGACTTGCTTATTGTTCCTTTGTTAATAACTATTAAAAGCTGATTATTACCAGGGGTGTACATAACTGGTATGCAGGTGCGCATGCATGGTAAAAATGAATGATGCAACAGAAAACGTGGAGAGAGGCACTTTTGAGTACCAACATTTTTGGGGACATGGACATGTTTATTTACTGGAAAAGGATTATCTCTGGTAAGATAGAAATCATGGTTAGTGCAGTAGCCTATGATATAACGTTTTAGCAATGATATCGCGATGTGTGGATCCGCGATAGTCACATATGGGATGTGCGATGTCAAGTATAGGCAGAGGTGCAAATAAGTCCAGGTTCAGAAAGTAAAAGTCCTCCTCAGTATTTTGTTCCAATCACCTGGATTTGCTAATTAGCACAGTTTTTCAGCCAGGAGATAAAAGTGTAATCAGCTGTAATAAACATATGGCAGGACTTTTACTATTTAATTATATTTAATTTATACAGTGAAGACTATTTAAAGTCTTAGTTATTTCACATTTGATTATTCAATGTCTGTACCTGAATACAGTTAGACTTACCTGAAAAACATGAAGCACTACTTATTTCATTTGTGATGGTGACAGCATCTCCAGGTGCTCCCTTGAGAATCAGACCAAAAAAGTGATGTAGCCTGTTACTGGCGCTTCAACGAAAGTGACTTAAACTCACCTGACGTCGTAAACACGATTTCCCACATCGTAAATAAGAACTTCCAGGAAGACTTGAACGCACCATGTGTCTACTCTTCAGCTACACACGCAAAAGTATGTAGTTTTTTAATCACACGAGGCTTAACGAAAACGCTTCAGGTTAACTTTTTGGTCACACTCTGGACCCGTAGAAGAAGGCGTGCCTAGTAACGCGGTTGTCAGGAAGACAGTGCGAATCAAACGTGTGCATCGGTATGATTTGTTTACCTTTATGGCTGATATGCCAGTAGAGTTTATGAACACGTTACTTGTCGATATATGTTCTGGGTCTTAAGATCGATATAAGTTTTGTCCAGGTTTATCGTCCTCGTCTCGGTTGGGTGGATAATTTTTCTTCACTCTGTCGTCTCCAGGATGACCGCAGGGTTCAAGACCGCAGTTTTAAGGTGATGCTTAAGCTTTATTACTTTAAATATGTAATTATAAAAAAAATATGCAGTCAATAAAAGTGTTTGATTTTGATGACAGTGTAAAGAAAAGTAGAAATCTACTTGTTAACATGTCCTGTTGTCCCACATCGTAAGATATTGTTTGTTTGCATAACTTCGTCACAACGTCTCATAAATGTTTCCATTTTATTATAATCTAAATTGCGAGACAGACACCATAAGTATGCATAAAGACTTGTAGTTTTTATGTGTGATTTAGCCTAGGTGTCTAAAATACTTTTCGGAGCAACTGTACTATGAAAATATTTCCATTACGTTAACTTGGTGAAAGAACTATTGACTTTTTGCTATGATAACAAAAGAGTTTTAAAAATGAATGCATAGTGCATTAATCATAGACCAAACATACCCAGTTTCTGTAAATATGATATTTACCCCCAGTTTCACAGACAAGGCCTAAACCTAGTCCCAGACTGAAATGCATGTTTGAGATGTAGTCTATTAACTGAAAGCAACTTGCACTGTATCTTAAAATATGTCAGTGTCATTGTTTTGTCTCAAGATAAACACCAGTAATGTTTTTTTTCCAGTAATGTCTTTTTTTTCCCTTCCATTTATAAAAGCTACTTAAATGCCCTTATTGAACTAAGGCCCAATCCTGGCTTAATCTAAGCCCTGTCTGTGAAACCGTGCCATGATATCTCCTTAAATAAAGCAAAACAAAACAAGACCTGTCATCCCTGCTGCTCTACTATTTTGGGACACAGTTTCGAAATTATACTTAAAGTTAACAATTAAAAGTGTTTCCTTTTTCCAACAGAACCAGAAATGCACATTCTGGAAGAGTGATCTAGCTGACTGACGTCTCATCAGTTGCTATGGGTACGGCATCCTCTCTGGTGAGCCCCGGTGAGGTGATTGAGGATGCATACGGTGGTGAGGGAGGAGAGGCATGTGAGATACCGGTGGAGGTGAAGCCAAAAGCACGTCTGCTGCGGAGCTCCTTTCGCCGCGGGCCTCGTGTCATCGGCGCCAGTTTCAAATCCACCGGATCGGTGGAACTGGAGTATGCGGCGGAGTATGAGCGCCTCAGGAAAGAATACGAGATCTTCAGGGTCAGCAAGAACAATGAGATCGCCTCCATGCAGAAGAAAGAAGCCAAGCTAGATGAGGAGAACAAGAGGCTGCGTGCTGAGCTGCAGGTTTGAGAGAGAATAAGATAATCTGACCTTTTTATGTGGGTCAATGGCAAATAAAAGTGGTGGCCGAAGAAATAAAGAAAAATCTTTTATAATCTAGTTTAAAACAAATGCCAAATTCTTCTTAGACATACTGTTTCAATTCATTTTTCTATTCATTCACTGTTTCTATTCGTTTTTTAATATGGCTTTGCAAAACTTTCACTCTATCTTCAAGAAAAAATGTATTTCTTAAAATTGAATGACTCTGAAAATGTAACTATTGAATAACAATTTATTACATTTCCCTACACTATGCACATGAGTGTACACAGCTTAATCTTTATTTACAAAAAGGTTTATATATTTTATAGGTAATACTAATTTATTTATTTTTCAAGTTAAAATTTATATACAGAATTTATAAATGTGTATATATATATATATATATATATATACACATTTATAAATTCTGTATATAAATTAAGAACATCTCATTGTTCTTAATTTTTAAATCTCTTAATTTTTACCAGAGCTGTATATATATATATATATATATATATATATATATATATATATATATATATATATATATATATATATACAGCTCTGGTAAAAATTAAGAGATTTAAAAATTAAGAACAATGAGATGTTCTTAATTTATATACAGAATTTATAAATGTGTATATATATATATATATATACAGCTCTGGTAAAAATTAAGAGACAACTGCAAAGTTGTCAGTTTCTCTAGATTTACTATTTATGTTTGCGTTTGAGTAAAATGAACATTTTTGTTTTATTCTCTGAAATACTGACAAAATTTCTTCCAAATTTCAAGTAAAAACATTGCCATTTAGAGCATTTATTTGCAGAAAATGACAACTGGTCATAATAAAAATATGCCATGTTTTCAGACCTTGAATAAATAAAACAAGTTTATATAAAAAAAATTTAAACAATTGAATAAATTTAAATCTAACCTTAAATTTGTTATAAAACGGGCAAAACCGTTTAAAAAAAAAAAGCAGATTTCTGCATGTTGGTTGCACCACATGACTTTGATTTGGTGGACAAAAGTTTTTCAAATATGAAAAAGCAGTGAAGCAGTTTTGTCGTTTTTCTTATGAATAATTATAACAGATTACGCCAAAATCACACCTTTTTTTTTCTTCAAGAATTTAATTCTTTTAATAATGTTTTCCCCTTCATTTTGATATCATTTTCTGGTTGTCAGGCTCTTCAGAAGACTTACCAGAAGATTCTACGAGAGAAGGAAAGTGCCCTGGAGGCAAAGTATCAAGCCATGGAGAGAGCTGCCACTTTTGAGCACGACAGAGACAAGGTCAAACGGCAGTTTAAGGTGTGAATCATTCTCTTCCCTCTTACACAGGAACATTAAGAACTGACATTTGTACCTTGCACAGTTCTAAATCTGCCCAAGCCCCCTCTATTTCCTTTTTGTTTAGTCTTATTTCTTTAGCCTATAGCTGTTCTAGTTTCAGTCTTCAGTTTTTCTACCATTCAGATAGATAGGACTTGGTCATGGATGCCCGATCAGACTTTCCTTGAAAGGGACTTTGATTCTTTACCTTACCTTTCCTTCATCTTCATCTCTGCCCTAAATCCCCGGGCAGATATTTCGGGAGACTAAAGAAAAGGAAATTCAGGATTTGCTGCGGGCTAAACGAGATCTGGAGTCAAAACTTCAACAGCTGCAGGCTCAGGGCATTCAGATTTATGATCCAGCAGACTCGGATTCAGACGACAACCACACCACTGTCACCAGTAAGAATGTGACCGATAAGTTTCACAATGGAAACTATATTTTTACACTTGATGATGTGATGTTATGATGTTGTGATGTTATGAAATGATGATGAATAATGTAGATTTCTCGCACTGATAACACTTTTCTTTGAAAAAGGAAGTTGACTCTTAGGTTCTCTTATTTGTCTAATTTAAAAAAAAAAAAAACGATCCATCCATTTATTAAAAAAGTACAACTTTTCTACTGTACCGCTAAATATTTTTAAGCATAATTTCACAAAACCCTGGATTGGAGCTTTATTGTGAAACCTAAGCTTTAAATCGAACCATCCAAGCTTTTATTGCAGCGCTATACTCTGTGCAGCCGCAGGAACACAGTGTGAGGACTGGAGTGGTGGTGTGTTGGGCAGCGAGCCGTCTATGGGCAGTATGATGCAGTTACAGCAGACACACAGAGGTCCGGAGTTTGCTCACAGTCTCATCGACGTGGAGGGGCCGTTTGCCAATGTCAGCAGAGGTGAGTTTGCACCAGTGTTTGTGTGTGTAGGTGTGCTTGTGTATGTAGGTGTGCTTGTGTATGTGTTGATGTTCGTGCCTGTGTGTTTCAGATGATTGGGATGCAGCCGTGGCTAGTCTGCTGCAGGTTTCTCCTCACGTCTCTCAGGCTCTGTGGAGTAACACAGTCCGCTGCTACTTCATATACACACAGGAGACCAAAGCAGAGCTGCAGACCTTTATACAGGTACACGTGCTCCGATAACACCTCTTATTTAAATACACTCATTCTCAGTTTAGCTACATGTATTTGTCTCTCTCTTTCAGACTCATTCTTTGAGGCTGCAGAGGTTTTGTGAGGGTTTGGGCTATTTCTGCCTGAATGTGTCATTTCCTGAGGAGAAGGCCGCTCTATATGCTGCTGAACGCAGGCAGGAGATCGAGAGGAGCTCTGTGTGTGTGCTGCTACTCAAGTCCTCAGTATCCAGGTGACACTCTGGGCCCTATAATACATGGCCCAATGCATCACCAGGCATGATGCAAGTGTTTTTTGCTAGTTTCAGCCCGACGCAGTTATCATTTTCATGTCCTGCGACACATTGTTTAAATGGCAAATGCATTTGCGCCTATTTTTGCGGCCATGGACGTGCTGGTCTGAAAATGAAGTGTGTTCAGGCGCATTGTTGGCGCATTGCTATTTTGAGGCAACTGAAATAGACTGTGCCATTGAGCATCAAAAACTTGGTCTAAAGTCAATGGCGCAGTATATATATTTTTGATATTTAAAGGGTGCATTAGTAATATAGGCGGGTGCACAACGCACGCGTACACTCTGCTTATTACACACAGGAACATGCAGCAGCACACAAACATGCCAAATATTAAAAATAAAAGGATTACAATGTAAAAGATTCATTTAGTCTACATAAAGATATGGTGGAATCCAGCTTGTCCCGTAGATGGTCTGCTTGCGTGCTTTAACCTCGCTCACGAGCAGATCTGTTTCCTCTCTGGAGAAGTGTTCAGTCTTTCCACTTGCAAATTCCGCCATGTAAATAGCAATCTGCCATGGCGCGAGTGCAACTGGCTTTTAAAGGGAATGGGAAATTACACTCTGATTGGTTTATTGCACGTTACGCCCAAAACACACCCATTACTCATTGAGAGAATAGGGACAACCTTTAGACCATGCGCCGAGCGCACAGACCATTTTTCCCGTCGTTAAACTAGCAAAAGTGGATTTGTGCGCTTTAGACCATGCGCTTATATCGCTAAAATAAAAATCTTTCTCACACTTTTTATGTTATCGTTGACATGAATCTCATGTAACTGTTTTGCTGTTTTAGTTGTGTTGTAGAGGACGTGGAGGAGGCGTTTGTGAAGACACCAGACTCTCGTCCTCTTTTGCTGTATTTGCGAACGGGTGACAGAAAAGGAGAAAAGGAGGAGGTGTCCACCCTCAGTCCAGCCACCAGAGACCTGCTGGAGAGAGTTAACAAAGCTGACAAAAGTGCCAAACTCAAGGTTTAGTCAATTATTCAAATGAGCTTAAAATTTCTTTTGATAGTTTTAAGGACAATTCACACAGCACCAACAGACGCTGACAATCACCAGATTACAGTACGTCACATCTCAGACATTCCAAGACCCAACAATCGCAGATTCAACATGTTCAATCGGCGAAAACGAGACAGACGCCGACAGACAAAACCCAATGAGGTGTCTGTTGTGGTTGTTTCCGTTGGAGCAGTGTGAATTGGCCTGTAGAAGTTTCTTCTGAAGATCCTAAAAACATTTTTTTTAAGTTTTAACAGGGTTCAGGGTTAACAGTTTTAAGGTTCTTAAAAAGATTCTAATGTTTTTGAAGTTTGTTTTAAGAATTCTAAAGATTCATCTGATGATTTTGTTTGTAACATATATATATATATATATATAGTACCAGCTTTTTGATGCTAATATTTAACCCTCCTAAGCTTTAAAAAAAGAAAGAAAAAAAAGAAAAGAGTACTGCAGTAAACACCGTAAGAGTGTAAGGTTTTTTTTTATTTAAATTATACGATATAACACTAGTTTCCCTGAAGTAGTAACTATAAAATAATACACTTTTTTGGGGATTTTAAGTAATATTATTTAGAACTTTAGAACTTATTTATCTATAAACTTCTCTATTTCATTATCATACCTGGCCTGGCCAAAAAAAGTCACTGTTTGGATTATGTTATGCTTCTAGCATGTTATATGTACGGACAGCCGGGAAAGACCGTCTGACGGCAGGAAAGATTGCACTAGGGGTGGATGGGCTAGTTACCCTCTCCACAGGTCCTCATACTGGGGACACCCTAACTAACTACGAGCACAAATAAAGAAAGACAGCCCGAAGGTCCACCGAGAGGCGGGATGGAAGATGGACCGAATAGGACGGATAACACGGAACCGACCGGCATGGAAACGACTAAAGAACAAAGGATCCTGAGGAGCTGCAGCTGCGGGTGGTCGAATGTGACAACTTACAGGGGCCTGCGGATACACCAAGGGAAGGCTAAATGCGGAGGGAAGGACCAAAGGCAAACTTGCACTGCGCAAGCAGGTCAGACAAGGAGACGTCAGAGCCGGGTTGAGCACCACAGCGTTACTGATTTCACCGTTGCGGATGGTCACAGGGAGGTGGAGCAGCCGCACAGGCCCAAAGTCAACAACAGGTGCACAGCCCAGAGCGTGAGAGTCACGCAGAGACCCCCAGCAGCAACCCATTAAGACAAGCAAAGGAGAGACCTACCAGACAAGGCAAAGTCAAATGGCCAAAATCCATCGAAAAAGCTGCCTGGGAAAGCTTCGACCAAGACCTGTACACCATCCTTGAGAATTCGCTACGAGGCAGTACAATCACCAAGCTAAACCTCTTTGGCAGCATTGTCTATGGGGAGGGCAAAGAGAGGTTTAGGGAGGTAATCCAGAGGAAGAACATCCCTAGAGAGGTGGGAAGGCGCGAGCAAGAGATTCACAAGCTTGTGAAGGAGAGGAGACTGCTTAGGAAGTCCTGGCGAAAAGCAGATGAGAATGAAAAGGAGGGTCTGAAAGCGCTCTGGGACCAGATCAGAAGCAGGCTTGCAACCCTGAGAAGGGCAGAGCGGATTCGGAAGCGAAGAAGTAAGAAAGAGAAGGAGCGAGCGAGTTTCTTTCGGGACCCTTTCAGGTATGCCCGAAGCCTGTTGGAAGAGAAGAAGAGCGGGAGGCTGGAAGCCACCGAACAGGAGCTTGAGGAACACATCAAGAAACAGCTAACTGATCAAGAAAAGAACATTCCTCTTGGGTCGCCTGGGCATATGCCTCGTCCTGCTGAGCCAGCCACTGAATTTGACATGACACCACCCAAATGGGCTGAAGTCAAGCTAGTGGTAGACAGGGCAAGGTCTGCCTCTGCACCAGGGCCCAATGGTGTGCCCTACAAGGTTTATAAGAACTGCCCCATGGTACTGAAGCTACTCTGGAGGCTGATGAGAGTAGCGTGGAAGGCCCAGAGCATCCCCTCAGAATGGAGTTGTGCAGTGACAACCTTCATCCCAAAAGAACAAAATTCCTGCAACATCAACCAGTTTAGAGGCATTGCACTTCTAAACGTGGAAGGGAAAATATTTTTTTCTGTGGTGGCCAAGCGTTTAACCAACTACCTCCTGAACAACTGCTACATTGACACCAGTTGCCAGAAGGCAGGCGTCCCAGGGTTCCCCGGTTGTGTGGAACACTCAACCATGATCTGGGAGCAGATTCAGACAGCCAAGCGGGAAAAACAAGATCTCCACGTAGTTTGGTTGGATCTGGAGAATGCCTATGGTTCCATTCCCCATCAGTTAATCACCTTTGCCCTGGAATTCTTTCACATTCCACCCAGCATTCGGAACCTCATCTCCAATTACTTCCGCAGCTTCACCGTTTGCTACACAACACAGGAGGCAACGTCAGGATGGCACCACCTAGAGAAAGGCATCGCAATGGGTTGCTCAGTCTCTCCCATCCTCTTCACAGCAGCCTTTGAAATCATTCTCATCGGCGGGAGACAGATGGTTCGAGGGGTGAGAGGACAGTCAGGCCAACGACTGCCAGCCCTGCGGAGTTACATGGATGACGTAACCGTCCTTCTTCAAAAAGCAGCCTGTACCAACCGGCTAATGAAGAGGTTTGAAGAACTCCTCAGTTGGGCCAGGATGAGAATAAAACCTGCTAAGTCCCGGAGTCTCTCTATACGCAAAGGAGCCAGAAATGATCACATCTTTTTCACAGTGAACAGTGAGAAGATCCCAATACTAGCAGAACAACCCATCCGGAGCCTTGGGAAACTATATACAGCCGACTTGTCAGATAAGCATATGGCTAATACAGTAATGCTACAACTCACCGAAGGTCTGATGCGGATCGACAAGAGCCATCTTCCGGGTAAATTCAAGATCTGGTGTTACCAGTTCACCTTATATAGGCGGCTAATGTGGCCTCTCAAGATGTGTGAGATAACCACCTCCAATGTGCAGAAGATGGACTCAAAAGCCAACAATTACATCAGGAAGTGGCTGGGCTTACCTCTGGGCCTCTCCAGTGTTGGTCTGTTTGGGAGGAATGCACTTCAACTGCCACTGAGGTCAATCCTGTTGGGCTACAGACAGGAGAAGGTGAGGCTTGTCCTAGAGCTGAGGAACTCGTCGGACCCATCTCTGCAGAACACCAAAGCCCCAGTCCGAACAGGTCGCAAGTGGAGGGCAGAACTAGCAGTCGACCAGGCTATCAGCAGGCTGAAACACCAAGAGATTGTTGGCAGGGCACAGTCAGGGAGAACTGGCCTGGGGTGGGGTACTGCTCCGAAAAGGTGGTCCAAAGCCACAAGGAAGGAAAGGAAAGAGCTAGTGATTTCTGAGGTGGTCAGGACAGAGGAGGAGAACTATCAGATCAAAGCCCTGAGCCAACGTCAGCAAGGACGCTGGACGACCTGGGAAGGAGTGATAAGCAGGACCGTAGGTTGGGCTGACATGTGGAAGATCCCCCAAGCCAGGCTGAGTTTCCTCATAAGGTCTACATACGACACCCTCCCAAGCCCCAGCAATCTTTGTCTGTGGTATGGCTCAGAGGAGAGCTGCCAGCTTTGCAATCCCCCAAATCCGAGCCTGCAGCACATCCTGTCAAGCTGCAAAACAGCACTGACCCAGGGTCGGTACAGGTGGCGACACGACCGAGTCCTGCGGAAGCTGGCAGAGATCCTGGAGATACGCAGGGCGGAATCAGCCTGGGAGCGCCTACCACCAAAAGCAAGGCGGCCGATCCACTTTGTCAGAGAGCGAGGAGGGGCCACCAAAATCACGCAACCACAGAGATCAGCCCTGGCAGGCAGTTGTGAGTGGAACCTGAGAGTGGACCTCGATCGGCAGCTCAGGTTTCCAACAGAGATCACCATAACCAACCTTCGACCAGATATCATTCTCTGGTCTGCCCGTCACCGGCCCCAAACTCAGGAAGGCCTTGAAAGACCTGGCCGAGGAGGCCGAGCAGGGAAGCTTTTGGCTTTGGTTAAGAAGGAAGGACCAGGCGTGGGGAAAACAAGGGTCCTAGGGTCAGCTGCAGGGGGCGGCAGGGAGACGTCCCTGCTGTTGCTCCACCACCGTGAGATGTTCCGGGAATAATGGAGCGAAACATCAATGAAGGGTGGCTCCCGGCTGATGACCCTGCAGCTACCCGCAATGGCACCGTCGGAGGTGCGGCAAGCAGAAATGCTTAGCAGGCAGTCACTTGCCTGTGCTACCACCTACCTATGTTTGCCAACAGTTCTTCTAACCCTAATTGATAGATTGTGTAGCTTTTCACTTCTTAAACAACCATGTAGGAAGACACATCATGGCCATATTCCAGGATGAAATGCACCTCTTGATGGAAATAACATCACAACATTTATTCCTTTTTTTTAGAGAGTAAATTTATGCAAATATTAGCAAATGCAATTTATGCAAACCTTTAGAAATTGACTACATTCATTTCATATAGTTGGTCAATTTTGACCGCGAACAGCCAATGTGACTTTTTTTTAAGACTCATTGAATAAAGTCCTTTTTTTTGGTTAGATTCCATATACTTAAAAAAAAAAGAAATACAGATAAAAACTTGCCAGCTGTGGCTGCCAGAATAATTCAGTAAAAATACAGTAAAAATGTAAACATATTTGCAGAACAACCTGGAAGTTTTACAGTAAAAAAAAAAAAAAAAACATAAACATAATAGCGCTGGTGGTAAAGAGAAGGCCACACAATACTTTTTCACAAGTTTAGAGAAATACTAAGATCTTGAAGGTGCACACAGTCTCATGCACACAAATACAAAACACCATCATGGTAACACACATGACTCTAAAATAACTATTAACTATAACTATTAATTTAACAACATAAAATGTAACATAACTGATAACAAAAATCTTTGAAGAAACATAATTATTAAAATGAAAAACCATCAAATGTGGTGACAACTTGTCACTGGAAATGTCAGTTTATGGCTTTTCACTGTAAATTTTAAGATGATTTGTTCTTTTTTACTTCCAAAAATGGTATAAGATATTGTGAGGTGTGCAGTTCACTTTTATTCGTTGTTTTTGATGAATTATTCTTTGCTGCGTGTTTTCTGCAGGTAGTGGATCATGCAGGCTCTGTAGAGGAAGGAGCTTCTCTTATCTCCTCTCAACTTGAAAGAATTATCAAACAGGTACGCACACACACAGGAAATCACAAGTAGGTGTTCTGGTTAATAGCATGTTGAAACTTGTAAGTTCCCTCACAGATTATGCACTATTAATATGTCAACTTAAACTGTCAACTTAAAACTTGGTAAATATTAGGCAATACAGATATTGGTTTAAACTTTTAGCATTTTACTCATTTTACTCATTGCTTATCAGTTTCACCCAAGTATTTTACAAATATTTGATATATGATAATAATATACAGTGAACTTGAATAGGTTTTTATATGGAAGTAAAATAATGCCAAATGTTTTTGAAACAAAAAAGCCTGTTGAATTGCACTACTTGAAAAAATGTGCATTGCATTAACCATGCTTGCATTTTAATGCATTGTGTTTTTAGGGCTTGCATTTTTATGGGCTGAAATTCAGCATGGTTTAATATTTAAGATGTGAATATTTCAATTCAAAACATTTCAAACACATTTTCATTTTTTTAAATTCAATAATCCATATTCACCTTTCATATTTCACTTCCAAAATATTAAAACTGTTTAAAAATACAACCTATAATATTCAACAGGCAATTTTTGGTCCTTTTTATTTCGCTTTGCAAATTCGCTTCCACAAATTCAGTGGTTCAAATTCGACAGTAAATTCAACGTTGACATCCAGGAACCCCAGGAAAAGCAGTAGATTACCGAGCATAATCTCCATCTGCTGTTAGTTGATCTCACCAGCAGGAGGTGCAAGCGTGTGTTGTTGACGAAGACCAGAGCAACAGTTAGAGCAAGCCATTCATTCATAAAAACTAATTTACAGCAATTTAAGTGTATTTGTGTATATTTTTTCGTCATTATTATGATGGCTGTTTTATGTTATATTCCGTGTCTTCACGAACACTGAAGTCCTGTGCAGCCTATATGCATCTTTCTCCACCGTGAACGAGATTATAATGTTATTCCCCCGATGCGGATGTACAGATCCAATGTTACATTTGAGGTAGACATATGCAATATAGAGTTTGCAACATGTAGGCATATTTATATATACTGTATATATAAGAGAAGAGAAGAGAAAGGGTTAGTATTAATTGATCAAGTGTTGATTTTATGCCAGTATATCACTGGGAAACGCTAAGCATGAAACTTTGTGCGTTTAGTTCATAATCTGAGTCCATCTGCTTGCCTGTAGCCTATATAGTACAGCCTACATGCCCAATATGGTGCGAGTTTGGTCTTTTATATCACTGTATTAGTCCATTAAGCTACGATATCCTTGAGTATGATGAGGTATTGTGGGAAACCGATTATAATCCCGTTCATGGTAGAGAAAGCTGATAACATGTAGGCTACACAGGGAAAGTAACAAGGAAAGTTATTGAATAAAACATAAACATAGCTTTTGTGTCTTTATCATCTTTTCCCCATACTGACCCAGTTAATCATCACAAAAACTTAATGCATGCTTAATTGCTGTAAATGAGTTTTTATGAATGAATGGCTTGCTCTAACTGTTGCTTTGGTCTTCATCAACAACACACGCTTGCACCTCCTGCTGGTGAGGTCGACTAACAGCAGATTATGCTCGGTAATCTACTGCTTTTCCTGCGGTTCCTGGATGTCAATGTTGAATTTACTGAATTTGAACCACTAAATGGTGCAATAATTGGTATTGGCTACTGCTTTTATTATTGCTTGATACAAATTTTACAATTTCAATTTAATTCTTGTGGTTTTATTCCGCTCTTGATTCAATTTGGATACATATTATAAATATAGGCTACAGTAGATGTTAATTTTTCTCAAGAAAGAAAATCGCACCTAATGCTGTAAACATAGACTACAGAGAGCCCTTTCAGCTAATATTAAAGGTTAAAAATAACAACTCAAATTAAATATAGGCCTAATGCGTTTTTTATTACAACAACTTTATAATATTTTAATGATATAAGTAAAAAATATAATAAATATTTAATATAGTGCACATATTTAGCAAAATACTCATTTATACTAATACTAAATATATTATAAAATACTAATTTTTTTCTAGCCAACTTACGTGCTATGGTCATTAAATGGCTTTCCTGAGGTAAATGTAACGTTATGTGACATTGTAGTCTACTCCAGCTATTTTATTGACCTCTTTCTGCGGTTAAAAAACGCTGATTGTTCTATTACAGTACGTATGAGGCATATGCATTTCGGTAAGTTACTGTATCTTTCAATACGCACCTATTGCTCATTCGTGTTTATTTACTATTAACTAGGCTTGTGAAGAGAGATGGTCGGTTCACGTGCCATTTGAACTGAGGCGCTACAGCGATCTGTCACATTTAAAAGCGCCAAAACGATATTTATTGTTAGAATTTCGTAATAAAATTGACAGAATCTGAGAGCTGTGAATTTGTTCCATATCAAAAGTAACCTTCTCTGTGTAGTCTGTCGGTGTCAGTGTCCTCTTTGCTTCACGATTTTTCTCTGCGTGAGAAAATGAATGTGTGGCGTGAGTGCGTGTGAAAAGGGTCAATTGTGTGAGTCTCACGGTCAATGCGTGAGAGTTGGCAGCTCTGGATATAACATTTACCGATATGCCATTAAACCAGCAGCTAAGTTTAAAAAAAACACTTTGAAAATAACCCAGCGTATGCGTAAAAATATATGTATTGTTTAGAGTGTGGTTCACAATTTGAGGTTCTGAAAGAGGAACTTTGTAAGTTTCTTTGTAAGTTTGCCTAATTTTCAACAGAAAGATACATTTTTACAAGATTCTCTCTCTGTCTTCAGGAGTTGTTGGGATTGGAGTTAGAGGAGAGTGGGGCGGAGGAGGAGAGGGAAGAGGAAGACTCTGGTGATGTGCTGTGGGATCTTCATGATGAGCAGGAACAGATCGAGGCATTCCAGCAGGCCTGTAGCGCTGCTGCAAAATATAGCTTCCAGAAGGCATGGCCGCTATAATTTTCTTTATTATTGACTGATTTTACATGCACCCTCATAATGCGATTATAATATAATTAAGGTAATATTGTGATTAAACTCTACCTCAAGTAAACACAATACTTTAATCAAATTGAAGCAATTAAGCTCATAATCATAGGAACCTTAATTGTATTAAAATATGTGGCAAATGTTGATTTTAATCACAATAAACAGGCATGTAAACACTGTAATCGAATCGATTCCATTCTGACCAAAGTGTACACGTGTTTGTGACTTTTATGGATGATGTGGTCATGCACAGATTCGTAAACATGAACACTGTCACACTCATGTCTTGTTCTATATAGTTTCAATGTTATGTTCCATTTAGTTTCTTTCTCATGGATTTCCTTGTCACTCTTTTGCTTGAGTTCTAGTTCATTGTTTGTTTCCATCCTTTCTGATTAGTTCTCACCTGTTCCCTGTTTCTTTGATTACCATCCTCTGTTTACGGTATTTAAGCCCTTAGTTGTTTGAGTTCAATGGTTCTCAACCTTTTTCAACTCACAGCCCACACAACCAAACACACATTTCCGCGGCCCACTGCAAATATTTTAACTGACCCCGCTATTTGTGTCGGGTTGGTAACTGAGCACTTAGAAGCAAAGATTGTCCATCTTTATTGAATAAACTGGCAATGAACAGAAAATGTAGATAACGGGTCACCAAGCCTTGAGAGACTTGGGCTGGCACTGCTCAGGAAAATGGGAAAACCAGATTCAGGCAGAGGTATGCAGCGGGTAGACCATCAGTGGAGCAATCAGTCAGAGAGAACAGGCAGAGCAGGGTCAAGACGAGCAGAGTAATAGAAATATCGATATACTTGCAGTCCGCCTGCTTCTTCTCAAGCAGGGAGATCACTCCCTCGAGGATCACAAGAGGGATTTCTTAAAGTTCCTCACTATCCCGACCGGTCGAGGTCACGCCTGCCCATAGAAGGTCCTCGAGAAAGCTTCGCTGCATATGCGGAGTGGGTGCTGGTTCAGTGCGAATCCTCATAGACCGTCTGCCTCGCTAATGAGGACAACATCCCACTCTGGACCTAGAGTCCAGCCAGCTGAACTCTACTACAGCTGATCACCCTGTAGCCCAAGACTGGTTGCCCACTGAAGCTAAGCAGGGCTGAGCCTGGTTAGTACCTGGATGGGAGACCTCCTGAGAAAACCAGGTTGCTGCTGGAAGAGGTGTTAGTGAGGCCAGCAGGGGGGTGCTCACCCTGTGGTCTGTGTGGGTCCTTACGCCCAAGTATAGTGATGGGGACACTATACTGTCAAAGAGCACCGTCCTTCGGATGAGACGTTAAACCGAGGTCCTAACTCTCTGTGGTCATAAAAAATCCCAGGATGTCTTTCGAAAGAGTAGGGGTGTAACCCCGGCATCCTGGCCAAATTTGCCCCTTGGCCTCTGTCCATCATGGCCTCCAAATCATCCCCATATATATACTGATTGGCTTCATCACTCTGTCTCCTCTCCACCAATAAGCTGGTGTGTGGTGGGCGTTCTGGCGCAATATGGCTGCTGTCGCATCATCCAGGTGGATGCTGCACATTGGTGGTGGTTGAGGAGATCCCCCCCTTCTATGTAAAGCGCTTTGAGTGCCGAGAAAAGCGCTATATAAATGTAATGAATTATTATTATTATTATTATTTTACTTGTTCAGCCCGGTCCCAAGTCGTCTTCGTCTCTGCTGGTTCAGCCCAGTCTCAAGTCATCTTTCTTGTCGCAGGTTTTGCCCAACTCCAAGTCAACCTTCTTCGCCATTGGCTCTGGCCAGCTCCAAGTTGCCTTTATCGATATTGGTTCTGTCCAGCTCCAAGACTCCTTTGTCTTGCTGAGCCTCCCTCTCCCTCCTCCTCTTCCTACGTCCAAACCAGTTCCTTGGCCTCCCTTCTCCCTTCAGCACCCTTGGCTCCTCAAGTGGTTCTGCCCTGCTGCTCGGATCCACCCTTGGGCTTCCGAACCATCAGCTCCGCCTCGGTTTGAGGATCCTTCAGCTCCACCTTGAGCCTCCAAGCAGACCCTCGGCTCCACTGTGGTCTGTTATCCCTCAGGCTCCACCATGGCCCTCTAGGCCTTTTGTGTCACCCTGGGTCTTCGGCTCTGCCTGGGTCTCCACTCATTGCAGCTTCACCTCTGTTGATCAGGCTCCTGATTCAATCTTGGCTCCTCCCTCAATCGGCTCTGCCGTGGGCCTTTGTCCTGGCTCTGCTGTAGGTCATCCTCTGGTTCCTCCCTCAGTCGCATCCTAACTGGCTTATCCCTCCACTGTCACCGCCTTGATGTTTCCCACTGTCAGCCCCTACTCAGTTACATCTGTTTCCAGTTCCACATACTCTTCTGGAACCCCCTCCATCCCGCTTCCTCCACATTTTGGGATTTATACATGCTTCCTGTGACAAAGGCATCACATTCCTTTGATGTGGGTTCATCGTTTGTGCCGGGCATTGGAAAATGTCAATAATGTTGGTAAAAACAACCACAATTCTTAGTGGATAATCAGAAAAATGAAAATTGCATTTAAACGGGAGTGAAGAGGTTTGCTCATGTCATCAAAACATCTTACTGCGTCCTTACTCTAATTAATGGAAATAATCACATTATTGGTCCATATATAATTGAGTTATTGATAAAGTTTTTTAACTGAGTAGGCCCACTAGAAATCTGAGAAAAAATCTGTGGGATTCTGTGTGTTTGATGAGAGCTGAAAGTGCAACACTCATATGGATGGGTAAAAGTATTATCAGAGCAACTGAATGTTAAATAAACTGTGCACAAATGGCAGGAAATGTGTACTGTAAATACTATGAGTTGAATGCGGTATTGGTTCTTTTCACAGTATGTCGACCGACTCAATGACATGGTAGCTGCCCCTCCTCCCACTCCACCGCTGCTGGTGTCTGGTGCACCTGGATCGGGCAAATCTCTTTTGCTGGCTAATTGGTTATTTCATCTTAATTCTAAATATAAGGTATTATTGCACAATAATTATGTAGGTCAATTATCACACAATAAGCAATTTGTCATTTCTATGCAGGATAGAGTTACAGCAGAAACACTCTCCCAATACTCTCATCCTTTATCACTTCACGGGACGTCCGCTCTCTACCAGCACAGACCCTGTGCTCATCATTAAACGCCTCACAGTGAAGGTGAGACACACACACACACACACACACACACACACACACACACACACACACACACACACACACACATTTCACTCTGTTAGGCTCTTTAAACTGTAAAAGAACAGAGGCGGACTGTAGAATAAATTTCTTTGTAACTAGCGCTTTATTACATGCAGCCTGCAGTATTGGAGGCTATTGGCACTGGAATTTTGTTTTACCATTGGCAAATTTAACCCAAACATTACCAAAATCCTGGGTTGTCTTGTTTCACACTGTTCATACTTGGCTTTGGGTGGTTGAGTTACAAGATTTACACTACATTTGTAAACCCTGGGTTAACACTCTTATATGCATGTATACAAGCTGTGACAATATTGCCATGTAAAATGTTCTGTTAATATTAAGTCTTCTGAAGCACTCCAGTTAACATGTTTGGGAAGGTGTAAATAACCACAAGATCCATACAGTCATGCAAGTAATTCAGAAGAATGAATGGAAGTTCAGGAAGCGATGAAATATCTTGATGAAATATTCTTGAAATATACTTGCAGCCCTGTCACAACCTGAAGCCCTGACACATCATCATTGCATGCAGAAAGAGGAAGTCTAACATTTAATAAGGTTAACTTCATTTCGTTGGTGGTGGTTTTAGTCTCCTGTAAAGGGTTTGGTTTTTACTGTAGAGGTGAATGTTACATAAAGGGTTTATAGGCACACAATTTAAGCAAAGTTAACTGAACCTAAAACTTTCCTCTGAACCACTTTTTCCACCTATATCATCCCTGTAGCTGCTCCAGCATTTCTGGTCTATCTCCGGCCTCTCGATGGACCCTTCTAAGATCCTCGAGGAGTTCCCACGCTGGCTAGAGAGACTTTCCGCACGCCACCATGGCAACATTATAATCATCATTGACTCAATTGACCAAATACAGGTAACGCTTCCTTACATTAACTTCCTCATTGAGCTGTGGTGTGATCATGTTTAGAGATCTCTGCTACTAAAGAAACACAACAAAACACCTACATGAGTTCAAATCAATTGATTTTACACTGTCACTTTGTCATAACAGTTTACATAATGCTAAAATTGCATAGATAGATGGATAGATCAGATAGATAAGATAGATACTTGCTCCAATCAATCAATCTATCTATCTTATTCCCTCCTATTTTTACATTTTGCTGTTATTTAAAAAAAAAAAAAAAAAAAATTATACTGTACATTATAATGTTGCCTAAATTCACTTTACCATTTAAAATGCTTTATTTTGTTTTTAGTGTTTAGTGTTAATTTATTTAGGCAAAAATAGTATAGAATATTTTGTTTATTACTGGTAGCCATTTATCAGTTGTTGACCATAGCATAAAAATAAATATCAGCATATCGTTATCTTGCCAAATTTGAATATCTAATAATGTTCTTCAGCATGATTCAGTTTGTCATTTGTGTATTTCCCAGAATGCCGAGCGGCACATGAAGTGGCTGATTGATCCTCTTCCTGCTAATGTGAGAGTTATGGTGTCAGTTAATGTGGAGACCTGCCCACAGGCATGGAGGTTAGTGATGCACAAATACACATAACTAATTTGATTTCAGATATTATGAATGTATTCAATAATATACATAGGACAATCACCAAACATACAAAACTATTTAGATTGTGGCCCACACTGCACCTGGACCCACTCAATCCTATAGAGGTGAAGAGTGTCATCAGCACAGAGTGTGTGAACACCGATCTCAAACTCACTAAAGATCAGGTAAACATTAATGTCAGCCTGTGTTCATCTGTATTTATTTATGTGGTGTTTGAGTATCTGTCTGTACTGCTGTCAAACAGGAAAAAAAGTTGGAGAGACACTGTCGTTCAGCTGGAACATGCAATGCACTCTATATCTCTCTACTGGCCAGACTTATTACACAGTAAGTAGATGTGTGAGTGAGTGGATTGTGGATTTGTATAGTGTTTGTTATTCTGTGTCTACTTAAAATATATTTCTTATTTGGTATTTGTATTTATGGCTCTGTGTGTGCATGCAGTTCTCTTTTATGTATACCAGTTTTTGCATATCTATATACCGTAAGTCAGTGCATTTATAGAGTGGTGTGGGAATGAAAAAAGAAAGATTGAAGTTTAATCTGTCAGTTCCAGATCCTCCTGGACGTTGGACATGACTCTACAACAGTGCGCGTTGTGTCAAGACACAGTATCACTATACAGACTGGGCCTGAAGTTGGCTTTAGACTCACTCAGCACAGATAAGGAAAAAAACATCATGAAAGAGGTGACCTGAAGCAGAGAATCACTCAAAAACCACGTCAGTGCACAATTTACTGTTTACTGTTATTAATTTGTATTTATCCTCATGCAGTTATTGTGCCTGGTATGTGCCAGTCACAACGGCATCAGTGAATCAGAGGCTTTGGAGCTGTTCCCAGACCTCAGTTTTCCCGCTCTCACCTCACTACTCTACAATCTGGAGAGACTCCTCATCATTACTTACGCCTGTGGACTCATTCGCTTTCAGCACCCACAGGTGTGTATGTCTCTGACTCTGACCTAACTGTACAAAAATGTCCTCACAATTTAGCTATATTTGGCAAAAACATGGGTGAATTTCAGTGTGTGAAACTAAATATGGTACTGTGATCTTTCTTGGGTGAAGATCTCACTTTCACATTGACGGAGAAATAACTGAAACAGAAGTAAATTTAAGTGAAACTGGTTTGTGCTGGTGTACTGTATGTGCAACCGTGTGTCATTTCCAGGCTTGTGAAGCGGTCAACCAAGAGTTTCTGGATGGGGGCAAATGCTGTGGATCCTACAGAGAGAAAATCATCCAGTTCTTTAGTCAACAGCTGGAGTAAGAACATCTCTTACCCCGGGTTTCACAGACAAGGCTTAATCCCAGACTAAAATGCATGTTTGAGCTGTTTTAACTGATATTTCAAATTCATCATTGTATTGTCTCAAGATGCACACCAGTAATGTTTTTTTCTAAGACACGTTTATAAAAGCTATTTAATGCCGTAATGACTAAGGCCTAATCCTAGCTTAATCTAAGCCCTGTCTGTGAAACCAGGCCTGTATGTGTATTGCAGGGATGTGATTTTTATTTTTATTTTTTATAAATGGTACCATGTTTATTTACAAGCGAGCACCTCATGATCAAGTGTTTAACATGTCTCAGAGCGTTGTTTTGGTTCATAATATTATTGTACTGTAAAATAAAAGTATATAATAATTATAATACAATAATCATTAAATTTTTATTTCACAGTACAATAGCTATAGTATTATTGCATTAGCAATTTAATTTTGATAATTAAATAATAATTAAATTAAATAAATAAAAATTCAAAAAAATAATATTTATATTATCATAATCATTGTTGTGGTTTGATATTGTTATTGTCATTATTATTGTACATAGTCATGTTGAATGGGGGTAAAAAGGTTTTCTGACCTAAGCTGATCACATGCCTGATATTGTCTAGGAACAAAGCATTTATCTAAAAATAGCTGCCATTTTAAATTGTTTTGTTGAATATTTTTTGACGGTTCAGGCAAGACAGAGTGACATGGAGGGTGGCTGATGAGTTGCCATGGTTACTTCAGCAGCAGGAGGATCGAAGTAAACTCCAGATGAGTCTGCTTAACCTGTTTGTGTCCCAAAACCTTTACAAGAGGTGCATTCTCATGTTCTTGCTCTATATCTTCTTCTGTATGTCTGTAAATGTGTCTGAAATAACATCTATCTGATGTGTGTTCTTAGGGGTCATTTCTCAGAGCTGCTGGCGTACTGGCAGTTTGTTGGTAAGGATAAGAGCTCGATGGCGACAGAGTATTTCGACTCATTGAAGGAGTTTGAGAAGACATGTGAGAGTGAGCAGAGCATGAGCCGACTGGCCAACCTGTACGAGACGCTGGGCCGTTTCCTCAAAGACCTGGGACTGCTCAGCCAGGTGATGCAGACAAAAAGACTGATGGTCATCTGTATTTAATTTTAAAGTGTGTATAAACGATGTGAATGTGTTGTTTCAAGGCGGTGGCCCCCTTGCAGCGCTCCTTAGAGATCCGTGAGACGGCTCTGGACCCGGACCACCCAAGTGTGGCTCAGTCCCTGCACCAGCTGGCTGGGGTTTACGTCCATTGGAGGAAATTTGGAAACGCAGAGCAGTTCTACAAACAAGCTATGGAGATTTGTGAAAACGCTTATGGCCCCGAACACAGCACCGTCGCTAGAGAACTAGACTCGCTCTCGCTCCTCTACCAGAAACAAAACAAGTACAGAACTTTTTTCTTGTAGGTGTTGTAAGCGATTTCTGAGAATCATAATTGAACACTGTTGATATTTGAAATCAATCCAAACAAACCTTCATTGCTCCGCCTTCAAAATACACAAACATGCAATCCAAGTGTGGATGTCTCTTTATCATAGCAGAAGCGAAGCAACATAAAGCTTCGCAAAAATTAAAGCGAAGATGATGAACGAACGACAAGGAAGAACAAAAAATCAACATACAGTATATACAGGCAAGAGTTCATTGTTATTCATATTATGCAGCACACCAGCTCCAGAGATGACCAGTGTTACTCTCATAAGGAACAGAAACAAAGCCACCACTGCGTCTGTTTTCAGGCCTTCCCGCTTAGGTCTCTCCAGGGCTGAAAAGCTTTTCTAATATTAACATGCGTCTTAAAGCTCTTGCCTAATCATAGCCCTTCCTTTTCCAGTGATATTCCTCTGACCATTTCTCTTTTGTGATGTCTCTAAGGCATCTCTCTTTCTACTGTCTTTCTTCAAATTTCCCTCTTGCTCACTCTCTCTCCTACCTCATCATGAGTGTATACGCCCCCTACTGCTGATTGGCTACAAGTGTGTTGTGGTGCTCAGTCTGATCTACTTTCAACAGCAATTCTCAGAAATCACTTACTTTAATTTCATACTCTGGAATGCAGATATTACAGAGGCTTTGTTCCAAAATCTAGTGAGCTGTCTCTGTCTATGTAGGTAACTATTTCTAAACCAGCACCCTATTTGAAATTGATGACTAAACTGAAACCCTTTACATAGCCAGCAAATAAATTCAAGAACCATGGAAAGCTAGTAAATGTGGAAATATCAGGAAATTAAAAAAATTTGATTTACAGGCCTGGAAAACTTAAAAATAGCTAAATAGTATGATAGTCATTTTTTTTTTTTATGTTTTTGAAAGAAGTCTCTTATGCTCGCCAAGGGCAAAACATATGGTAAAACAGCAATATTGTTAAGTATTACATTTTAAAATGACTGATTTCTATTTGAATATATTTTAAAATGTAATTTATTCAAATGACAAAGCTGAATTTTCAGCAGCCATTACTTCATTCTCAAATGATCCATCTGAAATCATTCTAAAACAGTTGAAACAGTTTTCCTGCTTAATATTTTTGTGTAAAATGTGATGCTTTTTTTCAGAATTCTGATGAATTGAAAAATCAAGAGAACAGCAATTATTTGAAATAGATTTTTTTAATGAATATCTACTGTCACTTTTGAATGTGTCATTGCTGATTAATTTCTGTATAAAACAAAATCTTACTGACCCCAAACTGTATATTTTAAACTGTTCTTTAATTTCCTTGCACATTAAATGCACATTTGACACATGATGCTGCATTCAGCTAAAATAAGAAATTTTTAAAGGCAGCATAATTTTACTACCTTTACTACTACTACCTAAAAGTAGGCAGCTCTCTATGGTTTGGAACAGATTCCTTTAGACCCTTTGTTCGTGAATAAGTAAAACATGGGGTTTAATACATTATATTAACATCATATACATTATACAAAACAAATTCTGTTTAAATTTGATCTAGATATGAGCAGGCTGAGAAGTTGAGAAAGAGATCAGTCAAGATCAGACAGAAGACGGCACGACAGAAGGGCCACATGGTGAGTAAATGCCAAATAGTAACTTTTAGGCACATTTGGTCCTACTCAATGGAGTGTGAATTCTGAGAAGTGAAAAACTTGTGTGTGTTCTCTCTAGTTTGGTTTCACACTTTTGAAGCGACGGGCACTGCAGTTGGAGGAACTGACTCTTGGCAAAGACTCAGCAGATTGTGCCAAGACTCTAAATGAGCTTGGAGTGCTTTATTACCTACAGAACAACCTGGAGTGAGTAAATCATCATTTCATACAGACCAGTATATGTGAAAAAGGACATAGGGTTCCCACACATCCTAGAAAATCTGGAAAACCTGGGATTTTGCAATAAATTTTTCCAGTCATGGAAAATGAGAAAAATATCTAAATGCCCTGTAAAATAACTATTTGTCTTGGAAAATATTTTTGTGTTATAAAATGTTTCACTAAACAATTTTGTACACATTTAGGGTTAACTTAAGTGTTCACAATACCAAAATTTCAGTAGCCATTACAAATATCAGTAAAATGCAACTATTCTTGATACAAATTGATTTCTTTTCACATCATAAAATGTTTAAGCATTTTTATATTTTGTATTTTTGTGAATATTTTGGACAGTATGAATAGTTGCACACAAAAAAATAGTTGGATTTCCTTCTCAACTGTAGTTTTTTTCCAGCATTAGCTGTAGACCATATGGGGATGTCCAATTTTTTCTGTTTGTTTGTCATCAATGCATGGGCAAAAAGAGTGATGCCAACCCAGGTTACTGGACAGTTCAAAACTACAGTTTTTGCAAGCATTGCTCCCCATCACGGTGACTTCTGATTTGAGTCATGCTGAGAAGCTGGTTTGTTTTCATTGAAGGGTTAATTTTTATGACAGGAAGTGGCATGTTGCAGCTGCATTGTTTGTCCTGCGGTCTTTAGCATCCTTGTTTGCGCGTCCGCCTCCCACGTCAGAGACCCCGGTTCGAATCCTGTTTGGAGCGCGTCGAGTAGGACCACAACTCTTGTTCGGTCATATCTGGGTGCAAATTGATCACAATCTTTAGGTTTGCTGTTCCTGTCGCAGGCCTCTCTACACCGCAGAACTTCCCCAAAGTTTGAGATGGCATCATATATAGCAAACCTGTCACTGGGCCTTGCTAGGGCCTTAATAGTAATTTGTTGGGCCCATATGATGTGCATTGGTTTGCCCAATATCTCCAAAAAATTCTGAATCTCAAGGGCATTTTTTGCATCAAGGCAGTGTTCAAAGGTCAAAAAACCATATACCCACGAGACCGGTTGCTTATTGTATTTCTGCACACTCGCAAATAACAGATTGGTCCGAATGGCTTACAACCCTTGTTCATTTACAACTGAGTGTAAATTATTCTCAAGCAATGACCCCTGGTCTTTTGGTTGACCATTATCCTCTCCTGAAAACCAATTTTAGGACATTGCCATTTTGATTGTCCTTCAAAGAAGATTGTTCACAAAAAGCTCTTTGTACAATGCACAGTTGCAGTGTAGAACTCACAAAAGAAGAACTCATCTGATCACGGAATAATCACAGCAGTGACATCATAGCATGACATTCCATCCTCTGAGTATTAGGAGGTATTGCACTTGTTGGGCACATAAATAAGCCTTTTCAGAAATGGACACTTCTTTTCAACTCTCTTCAAGGCACAAGTTTTATTAAATGAGTTTGTAAACCAGTAGTAGTTTATTTACAATATGCATTTCCCATTTGCAGTCATATAATAGCCATTTTATTGTTTTTTTATAACCCAGCGCCGCAAAGATGTTCTTGACCCGATCCCTGGAGATGCGTCAGCGCGTGTTGGGGCCAGATCACCCCGACTGTGCCCAGTCTCTGAACAACCTGGCCTCGCTCCACAGCGAAAGAAAGGAGTATGAGAATGCCGAGGAGTTGTACGAAAAAGCACTAGACATCCGCAAACGAGCGCTCGCCCCAGATCACCCATCTCTTGCCTATACCCTCAAACACTTGGCAATGCTCTACAAACGCAGGGTGAGAAACCACAGGAAAGACACCAGCTCTGCAGAACATGTAGCAATCAAGTGGCGATTATGCATAGATTATTTTTGCAATGTTTTGTCTTTTTAATATTGTTAATGAATTCCTGACCCTTTTTAATTGGCTGTATGTATGTGTGTGTGCGTGTGTGATAGGGGAAGCTGGAAAAGGCAGTTCCTCTGTATGAACTAGCTCTTGAAATCAGAGAGAAGAGCTTCGGGCCCAAACACCCCAGTGTGGCCACTGCTTTGGTTAACCTTGCAGTGCTCTACTGCCAACTAGTGAGAAAACATCTCAGATTTCGGCCACATGTTGATTTGTAAAACTATCCGGTCCACTCTGTTATTTGATGATGTGACTCATGGGATGTGTGTTTATGTTGCAGAAGCAGCACAGTGATGCACTGCCTTTGTATGAGCACGCTCTAAAGGTATACGAGGACAGTCTTGGCCGACTGCACCCGCGTGTCGGAGAGACTCTAAAAAACCTGGCTGTACTAAGGTTAGCCATATTTTATTAGCTCAGCTGTGCCAATTCATGGCACAATCGTTTTAATTCAATTCAATTTGAGTTTATTTGTATAGTGCTTTTTACAATGCATATTGTTTCAAAGCAGCTTTACAGAAAATGCTTCTTTCAGTATTACAGTTATGAAGTATTCTGACAGATGAGCGAATCAAAGTAATGTCGATATGACAGTAATGTACAGCTATAATGTAATACATATAATATTACAATGCAAGGATAATATGACAGTTTTGAATGCTGATCCAAAGTTGGCATCATCTGGACTCTTCGCAAGGGTTGGCATTGTCTGTAGTCTTTTCAAAAAGAATAATATTTACATCACTCAAATATGGAGTGCTTCAAGGTTCAGTATTAGGCCCCCTGCTGTTTTCATTATGCTGTGCCTTGGAAATATTGTTTTTTATTTTATTTTATTGTAAATAATATATTTGAATGTAAATAATAGAGAAAAAGTATTGTCTAAACCATATCCATCATGACTTGGACCAGTAAGTAGCCACATGGCAACTATCCAGAACACCCTAGTAACAGCACCATTGCAACCACTCTCTTTTTCAGCTATGAAGAGGGAGATTTCGAGAAAGCTGCTGAACTGTACAAGCGAGCAATGGAAATAAAGGAGGCAGAGCCATCTCTGGTGTGTGGTAAGGCCCCCTCACATCACTCATCCAGCGGCGACACCTTTAGCCTGCGAAGCCCCGCCCTTCCTCACGCCTCAAGGTGACACCTGAACGGGACCCCTCAACACTTAACTACGGTGTACTCTGGCCTCACACTTGTTATGTTCAGGCCTGTGCTGGAATGCCTCAAGCATGTGAAGTCTACATGGAACAATCAAATATGCATTGGGATCCAACTCCGTCCCAATTCCTACTGTAATTTACAGTACAAATCATCAGTGTCTCAAATGTATCGCTCACTCCCACTGGGTGCTCTTTCTCAAAAAGGCAAAACCTGAGAAAGTAAGCATTTTATACCTGTGATTTTCAATGACTGTTGTAACTTCGCATTAGCATACCAGTGACATTTCAAGTGCAATGCTGTTACACTATGAAGTGTTGTAAAATAGAGTTGAACAGAATGGTATTTTTTACGGAATGCTACCTCAGAGTAAAAAAAATGGTTAATTGGGAGTTTTTAAAATAACATTTAGGAGATATAGTCAAGTTAGATATGAAGTCGCAATTATGAGATGTGAAGTCGCAATTGCGAGAAAAAGCATGACAATTACAGTAAGACAGATGAAGTCGCAATTAGGAAAAATTGCATTGCAATTACGGGATGTGAAGTCGCAAATGCCAGAAAAGTCGCAGTAATAAAAAAATGAAGCCGCAGATACAAAATGTTAAGGTGTAAGGTAAAAAAGTAGCCAATTCCAATATTTCTTCTCTTAGACAGCATCAGGCCTCCATAGTTATTGATTGTTCATGCAATGCAAAAATATTATTTACATTTTCTCGCTATATGTGCTTGATATACACTTTTTTTTTTTCAATTATCACTGACTATTATAAATGATAAACTTGAGTATGAATGTATGTCAACAGTAATGTTGAAGAAGTGTGTTTACCTTTGTATTTTAAGAATTATGTCTATTCCAAAGCACTTTTCACTTGCACAGTACAAACATCCTGGAAACAAATATAGTCACATCACATGGCATGTGAAGTGAGATGCCAAAAGCTAATGAGTTATCTATTCACATTGTTTCTATCACTGCTGACTTCAGGATATGGAAATTAATCTGAGCATAACTTTGTGCAGCAGTTGCTTACAGATTCAAGCCACACTGAAGTGAAGCAGAATGGAAGTTTCACAGTCTCAACTCCTTCCTCTGGCCTATCACCTGCTTCCTGTAGGGAAAGTTTTCAACTTTACCTGAAAAATTGAGAACAGTTGTTAAGTGCAAAGCAAATTTCACAGTATTACAAAAGGACAACTGTCATACATAGCCATAGAAGACTATAACTTGAGATTATCTTTCAGGCATTCAATAAAATTCCTTTAATAAATAAGATAATTTTATTGAATACCTGAAAGATAATCTCAAGTTATAGTCTTCTATGGCTATGTATGACAGTTGTCCTTTTGTAATACTGTGAAATTTTGAGTAACACCACAGAGCACAGCATGTGAAATAATGTTTCTTGTAATGCAGTGCCAGTATTTGTGGTTTATTTTATACAATGACTGTTCAGCTGAAAAGTGCATCTACATCCATATGATATTATGACCTATATATTGATATTTTATTTAGAAATGGTACTGGTTTTTTGTGTGCTTTTTTTTAATTCTGCAGATTGTCTCTATGTGAAATACCTTGCTATTTAATTGCATGTGCCAAGTTTTGATGGCCAGATCTGTTTACATAGGACGGATATATAAATGAATGAATACAAATATAAAAGATTGTATGGATACAAAATCATGGTAGAAATACCAAACTCCAATTTCTCAGTGTCTGCAAATGCTTAAAATGCACATATTTAAACACTATTTGCAAAGGTGCTAAAGCTACTAATGTGCCTCATTTTGTAGCAAAATCATCTTGTAACTGTTGAATTTTGGGACAACATGCTAATTATAGAATAATTTATTTCTTGAATTTAGCTGAGCACTCATGGAGTGGATCATATGTGTTTTAAAAAAAAACTAATTCTTGCTTCTAATATGTAAAAATCATGTGCTGGATCAAAGTTCAAAGGAAGACAGTTTATTGAAGAATAATCATGTAGTGTAGCCTTAAGTCTAATTTTTAATCCAAGTTACGGTATGTTGGAAAAGACCTTACATTTGGTAATAATAATATAATATAATCAAATAAAAGACAGGACCTCCTATTGGAGACCTCACAGTGGAAAGAATAGATGGACCATCCTGTATATTAACTGTTTGGGACATTCAGTTTACTGACACAAATGTTGATTAAATCAGGGGCACAGGCTGAATGCATCACATCAGAATACAATGAAGACAAACACTTCTTCTGTGAGAAAAGGCTATACATCTCCACCTCCAACATCCTCACTCGCAATATAGCTTATACTAGCCGAGACTCCTCCTTTATGTGTACAGATGTGACGTAATGACGCAAAGACATGCTCGAATCTCCCGCGGAAATCCACCAGTACCACTGGAATTAAAAACATTATTACAAGCTTACCATTTTGAATCGAGCTACGGCAAGCAGATAGTTTTGAACACTGGCTGGTTATATACTTGCTCAAATTTATTTTGGATAATTTTTAACCCCAAAAAAGTTACGGACTGCAGCTTTAATCTTCCATAATGTCTTGTATTACATTATATTGTATTGTATTAGAAGATTTGTGCAAGTGCTTAGGCGTTGTTTTTTAACTTCACTGCCAAAAGGTGTTTTATACCCAAATTCTTCTAATGGACATGATCCATGCACAAAATAATATTATTGTGTATTGTACCAATAAATGCATAATTGAATGAAAATAACAGTTGAAGAGATTTTTTACTCAATGCAGTGGAAACAGATTTCACGATCATTGCTAAGGCTCCATGACATTTATCTGCTAGTTGAAATGAAGGAAAAGCTGAATAGAATGTAACAACAATAAATTTATTTTCTTTTGCATTATTCCAATGTCATACCATTCAATACAGCAGTCAGAATCAGGCCGATGATAAATTGTCTGAAAATATTTGTGTGATGTTCTTTATAATATCTGGATGGGGTCTACAAGCACGGATAGTATAAGAGATGACACGATTATATTTAGATGTGTGGCTGAAGCTACATCCATTTCCTCCACGGCTGTTAAAATAGGCATTACAATTAGTTCTGTTAACCATTGCCAACTCTGAAACCTCAACAACAAAACAAAAGAGTAACAATGATGGCAATTCAGTATTAAGACTTTCAGTCAAAGTAAACCTGAAAACATCTTGAGTGTTACAGGTTGTTTTGCAAAAACAATAAAAACTAAATCCAAACTGATTTAGTATGAGACCTCAGATGTTACAAAATAATAATGAGATCAATTTCAGTGTCTGTGGGAGAGTTCAATGATGTCGGTTCCGTCTCCCTTACATATTTTTCATCTGAGCCATCAGCTCCTCTAAACTCTGTTCTGTTTCCTCCACAGTCTCCCCTGATACTCCATCCTGGCAAAGAGAAAGAACACATGGAATATTACATGTAAACAATGATGCTCACAAAGTCTGCATTTATTTGATAAAAAATACAGTAAAAACAGTAATATTGTGAATAATATTACAATGTCTTATTATTATCAATGTTTAAAACAGTTATGAATATTTTGATCAATTTAATGCATCCTTGCTGAATAAAAAAAGTGTTAATTTCTTCTTTTTTTAAAATTACTGACCCAAAACTTCCAAACATTAGTATAATTGTTGGTTAGGTAATTGCATGTTATGTTTTCTTAGGATATTTGTGGCATCTGGCCTAAAATATTATTTGCATTTACCTTAATTCAATTTTTACTTGGCTTTTTTCAATGCAGGAAAAATCCTGAAAAACCAAAGTGTTATTATATTTCAGTGGGTCGTACTTTCTTAGGTATGGTGTAGGCTACATTAATGCCCTCTGGTAGATCTGGTACCGGTCCTGATGCGTCCTGAAGCTCCGCCTCTGACACCTCTGATACCAACTCAATACCTGTCAGAAATCATACTGGTTCAAGCTTACTAATGTTAACGCATTTCTGTTTTATGAATGAGGAATCTTTTGTGTGTTGTGTGTGATGCCAACCCCATTCATTGTCTTCATGTACCACTTCCTCTTCTTCCTCCTCCACTTCCTGCTTTGGCCGTCCTGCTTCTTTTTTCTAGAAAATAACCAATGCATAACCAATGATAGACTGCTGATATTCATATTTTACTGGTTTTTGCCCCAGTATGCCTTAATTTACATCACTTACTATGTAACTTGCATAGAAACAGTCACGTTAATATTTTGGAACTGTGTAACTACTCAGCAGTCAGAATCAGGCCAATGATAAATTGTCTGAAATTTTTCAATCAAATTTTACATAAAAATGGATAAACACCCTTGAAGTTCAAAAATAAAGAATTCAATGATGTTGTGGTTTAATAATATTTCATTATTAATCAATAAATCACACTTTGACTTAACTATCAAGGTGCAAAAATAAGGCGGGAATACACTACATTACTTTTAAAATTTTGAACAGATTTGAAAACACTATTTACAAAGTTGGCAAGTGTATGATGCATAGTTACAGAGGAAAAACTGGGCATCATACACTATACACTAGACTTTCACGTTGTTCAGAACACAAACATATGTGGCTTGTTGCTAGTAGGGGATTCGTCACAATTTAAAACGTGTTCCAAAATCAACTCTATCAAACATGTTTGATATCGTCCGACTGGATGGAATCATAGTCTGAAGCTAGAAAAAAAAAAAGGGAGTAAGTGGCCATCATACACTACGCGATTTTATATTAAATCTGTCAAACTCAAATCTGCAGACTGGCTCTGACTTTCAGCAACTAGCGTCGACAAAGATTTGGACAAAAAGTTGTATAGTGTATTCCAGCAGTAACATAAAAATTGTGTTTATGTTTGCATCTGTAGAAGTGTCACCTTGTACTCTTCCTGTTGTCGTCTGCAGTGCACGTTATCACACTGTGGGTTGGCCTTCATTGCCATGCTTGGGAAGAAATCCTGCATGGCATTATAGCCCAGGTAATAACTCACTGTCCCAAACCCCAACAGATACCTACAATAAAACACAAGGCCTGGAATGACATTGTCTGTAAAGTCCTTTGGAACCGTACTGACTGGGCAGGACCTCTAAGGACTTGAAATGACCATGGGCTAAAGGGTTTGGCTGGGTTGTTTGCATGGTTCAGTTAACCCCTGCTAGGACAAAAAATTTTGCCATCTAATGGCATTTATGTGATACTACAGCATTTACTACCCACAAAGTAATGGCAATAATTAGTAACTAAACTGGAATAGGATACACCAGCTAGTAATAGTAAGAATTTTTTTTTGTTTAAATGGATGTTTATTGAACCTTTTTCTGTACGTTTGCGTGTTTTTTCAGTATCATATTTGATATGGCTCATATAGTATGATATCGGAGAATATTGAGCTCACACTTCAATTTTATTCAGAGGCCCAAACTGACCAAAAATAAGCAATTTGGTGCAGTTGCTGATATTTATTTGGCCAAAATTTTAAGATGAAAATCTGATTGAAATTCTAATTTAAATCAATGAGATCTTTATAACAGTACATCAGACTACTCAATATAAAATGTCACTCTTATCTCCTAATAATCTTAGTAAGATGATATTTAAATGCTTAGTTATATGATTAAAGCCTTGTAATTTATATTGTGAGGGGCAAAATATAGAATGTAATGCAATACAATGATGATTGAGAGATGTACAAATAAACATTCCTCAAAAGGTATCATATTTGATACATTTTAAAACGATTTATGGATAATCAAGTAAACCTAAGTTGCTTCAGTCCGGTAAATGTTCATCTTGAAATATTATCAATGTAAAAGTCCTTCTTTCCTTTACTTTATAAAAATTGTTAAAGATTTCACAGCAACAAGACATGTACCACAACCTGAAAGGGGACGTTTTTATAATTATGCTTGGGTATGATGGTATGTGTCTTATGAATACTAATAAACAGCCAATATCCTAATATGCATGCTAATAAGCAACTAGTTAATAGTGAGAATTGAACCCTAAACTAAAGTGTTACCAAAATTGCATATCAAATTTAATACAGTAGGCATTATAGGTTTCAAATCAGTGTGGTTAGGCCTGTGTTGAATCCTTAGGATTGTGATGAGGTCTTACTTCAAGACATTCTGTACAAGGAGACCGGCGACCACTCCCATTGTGGTGGGCAGGCTGGCGGCACACACCCCGTCCTTCTTCAACGTCTTCTCATCGATATTTGCAGCCACGACGAGGGGAGGTGCACACTGACACACAGACAGAACTGCATCAGACCACTGTTAACTTTCCCACCCATTTGATTTGACAGAATTAACCAATGTTTAGAGGGTACAACCATACAATATGAGATGGTTTTTTAAGGGCCAGATTTACAAAACAGGGCAAATTAGCGTGAGAGAGTAGCGTTACTGACAACGCGCACGTTAAAGAACAGATACAGCCAGATAATTTCCATAATGACAATTCAGTCTATCACGAGCAGCATATGGTCGCAAACAAGCAGAGCATATGATAATATGGAGTGTATGATCTACTCGTAACACAGGAGCAAAGTGGCTTAAAGGGATAGTTCACCCAGAAATTAAAATTCTGTCATTATTACTCACCCTCACGTCGTTCCAAACCTGTGAGACTTTCGTTCATCTTCGGAACACAAATGAAGATCTTTTTGATGAAATCTGAGTGCTTTCTGTCCCTCTATTGACAGCTACGCAACTACCACTTTGACGCTTCAAAAGTTCACGAAGAGATCGTAAAACTAATCCATATGAATTGAGCGGTTTAGTCCAAATTTTCAGAAGAGACTTGATCGCTTTATATGATGAACAGATTTAATTTAGATTCACATTTAAACATTGATCAGCGAACATAAACAGAAGCTTAACCGGTCCTACTTGACGCGCGAGAATGAACCTCATTGGTTCTTGCGTAAGCTCAAACGTGCTGTGTAACAAGAATGAACCTCATTGGTTCTCGCACGTCAAGCGAACATGCTTAAGCTTTCATTTACCATATCTAATGTGTGAGTTGATGAATGTGTATATGTGAATAAAAGCCTAAATTCAACCTGTTCATCATATAAAGCAATCACGTCTTAGTTTTGCGATCCCTTTATGAACTTTTTGAAGCATCAAAGTTTGCGTAGCTGTTTATGGGGCGACAGAAACATCTTCATTTGTGTTTCAAAGATGAACAAAAGTCTTATGGGTTTGGAATGTAACTAAGGGTGAGAGTAATTAATGACAGAATATTCATTTTTGGGTGAACTATTCCTTTAAGACGTGCTTTTTTGGGCATTAAATAATGGTGCAAATACCCGTAAATTGACAAGCAAAAACCTTAGTCAATCGCATTGCGTGATTCATTTAAATACTCTCCTCCCACAAATTTTGCGACAGAAAGGTAAACTCCTACAAATGCATATGCAATAAGGTCAGCCGCAAAAATAAATGTCCGCGCCTTTTCAGCGCTAATTATTCACTGCATGTCTTCGGTAAATATTGACAGTAGTTTTTTAACGCCAAAAAATAGGATTTGCGCTGATGCAAGCTGTTAGTAAATCTGGCCCGTAATTTGTTATTTTGGGTGTGAGGGTTTATCATACAGCAAAACAAGCCGTTTCTCCAGGGATAATGAGCTGGATGTGTCCAGAAACTGCGTTCTCACTGACGCCTGACTCCATCCAGGTCTGACCCAGCTCATTACATGCCTATGAGAGAGAGAAGCAAACTCAATTGCTGATCATTTGTAGCTAAGTGTAATTGCTGATTTGTAGTGGCTAAATGGCTAGCTATATATATAAATGTTTCATATTTTCACAAATTTGCACAAAAAAAGTATTAAAAAAGATAAACAACAAATATAGTTCTTTCGATAGCTAAACGTAGTTTAATGCAAAGAACTCACTGTGTTAATGGCCATCCGAGCCTCAAAGTTATCAACACAACTGAGGACCAAATCTACAGTCTTCCCCTCCTCAAGTCCTCCGTGACTGAAAACACAAAACCAAGACTGTTTTTTACAACCAAATCAAAATGAGGGAGAAAACTGAGACAGTAACAAAAATAATCACCTAATGCGTTCCATGAAATGCGTGAAGTTGTCCATTGTGGTAATGTTGTAATTGTGGGTCTCAAAAGCAACATCTGGATTAATGTTCCTGTGCAGGAAAACACAGCATTATAATGAGAAATAATCAGCTAAAATACATTCAAATGTTGGCAAATTCGTCAATGACCCCTCAATTCATAATTTCCAATCAACATTACAGTTGAGGTAGATTTTCATTAATAATAAAATAATACTGTGTGTGTGTGTATTCTTTTTTACGGGACAAATTTAAACCTGACAAAACCTCCCAAAACCACATAATTTGTGAGTAAATAAAGTTTTTGTTTTTTTCTATTAGGGTGTAGGATATAGCATTTGTAACTAACTGCAAATAAAAACAATGTCCCATTTAGACAGCTCAGTAAACGTGTGTGTGTGTGTGTGTGTGTGTGTGTGTGTGTGTGTGTGTGTGTGTGTGTGTGTGTGTGTGTGTGTGTGTGTGTGTGTGTGTGTGTGTGTGTGTGTGTGTGTTATTTAAAAGACAGGGATTGGTAAGATTCAGTCTTTTATGTGCGATTATTGGAGCAGAAATACAATGAAACAGTAGTAATATTGTGGAAATTTATAAAATAAAATACGTTTTCTAGTTGAATATATTTCAAATGTAATTTATTCCTGTGATGGCAAAGCTGAATTTTCATCATCATTACTCCAGTCTTCAGTGTCACATGATCCTTGAGCAATCATTCTAAAAACCTGATTAGTGTTCAAGAAATATTTCTTATTATTATCAGTTGAAAACAGTTGTGCTGCTTAATATTGCAAGGAAATATTAGGAAACGGTGATGCATTTTGTTCAGGATTTGAAATAGAAATTTATATATAAAAATGTATATATAAAATGCCCTTCAATGCAGTGTACTGTTGAATGTGTTTATGTGTAGCTTAAAGGGATAGTTCACCCAAAAATGAATTAATAAAGAAGATATTTTGAAGAATGTTGGCAATCAGACAGTTAATGGTAGCCAATGACATCCATAGTATTACTCCATCAACTGTCTGGTTACCAACATTCTTCAAATTATATTCTTTTGTGTTCAACAGAAGAAAGAAACTTAAACAGGTTTGGAACTACTTAAAGGAGTAGTTCACTTTCAAATGAAAATTAGCCCATGATTTACTCACCCTCAAGCCATCCTAGGTGTATATGGCTTTCTTCTTTCAGACGAATACAATCGGAGTTATATTAAAAAATATTCTGGCTCTTCCAAGTTTTATAATGCCAGTGGATTGAAGTTCAAAAACGTGCATCTATCCATCATAAACGAACTTTACACGGCTCTGGGGGGTTAATAAAGGCCTTCTGAAAACGTTAATGATGGATAGATGCAGGTTTTTGAGCTTCAATCTGTTGGTTGCAATCCACTGCCATTATAAAACTTAGAAGAGACAATATATTTTTTAATATAACTCCGATTGTATTCGTCTGAAAGAAGAAAGTCATATACACCAAGGATGGCTTGAGGGTGAGTAAAAACCATGGGCTAATTTTCATTTTAAAAGGGGGAGTAAATGATGACAGAATTTTCATTTTGTGTGAACTCTCCCTTTAAGATAAATTGCCCCTTTACCTAAGAGTGTGTTCTGCAGCCTGAACTTTACTGAGTCCTGCCTGATGTGGCTGGAAGAAGAGGCGGTTCATGTTGGCCAGCTCCACCTTATCATAGTCAAACAGCAGCAACTGCAGGGGAAGAAATCACAGACACAGCAGAAAGAGGCATGACAGTCTGTTACTGCAGAGCCGAGGCATGTCTCCAGGGGTTATGCTATTGGCTTCCCTCCTGTGTTCCACACTAAACACTACAGGAATACAAGGCTTGAGGAATGCACCATTTTTAATTGAACAACATTAGGGGTGCACCACGCTATAGACTGGCCAATCAGTGCATCTCTACATTTGATTCATGCCTCCTAATGTCAAATGACACTACATATATTAGATCTAAATATTGAGGAATGATGATAAAGGTGCTTTACCTTACCAATGCCACATCTGGTGAGCATTTCTGCAGTGACACTCCCCACCCCTCCAACTCCCACTACAGCCACACTATACGAGCGGATTCTCTGAGAATGACAGCAGGTGAATAGTTGTCATCTGAACAAGAAGTCAACACTGTAAAAGTCTCATAAAAGAATAAATAAGCATGTTTACCTCATAGTCTTGCACTATGCCCATCCGTTTGAGTGCCATCAGACGACTGCAAGACATTTAATTAATGTGAAAATTGCAACGGTATAAGCCTTCCATCCATATGTCAGTCAATAAACACACAGCAGGATCAAAATGCTCACCTGTATGGATTTGAGTCTACGACTTCAGCGCTCATTTTATCAATCTTTGGTCTGAGATGATGTTCAGCATCACTTTGCTTCTGTTTGGATTTAATGAGTTCATTTTCTAACTCACGGATTCGCAGCCTCAGTTCCTCAACGGTGGTCATTTCTTCTGTAATGACCCTCTATTCCAATAAACACGGGTTGAGAGGGGGGGAAACAAAGCACAGAAACGATTCAAATCACTACTTAATGTACACGTCTGCACTGTAGAAATCAGCTGGCGAAGAGTGTCTCTCGCTATTGAGTCCGGAGTGAAACACAAATTCACAGAAACGGTAGTTCCACCAGTCCATGATTCCCACGAATCGGTTCGTCTGAACAAATCCTTTAAATAAACTAGTTCAGAAACCTGCGCGGGATAATATACGCCACATTTAAACTCATACGGCTGCTTATTACGTTTAGTTCGATACATTTTTCCCAGTTAAATTTTTGGAGACATAAGTCACATATATATTGCCATTTGGAAACCTAAATACAATGTACATTTAGCAGTTGAATTTTTGAGCCGGCTCAATCAATTCATTAAAAAGATCCGTTTTAAGAAGAACAAATCGGACGTCGTAACTATGGTAACAGCAGTCTCGCGAGCGAGAAAAAAAGCTGTTCTTTGTATTTAGGTAATGATTGCAGGTTTCTTCCAACTACATAGAGTAAAACGAACTTGATTTTAAATCATTTTAATAATTTCTGATATTACGAACCTCCAGTCCGGTGGGTGGCGGTCATATATTTTAATATTTGTCCTGTCCATACCAAAGAAACAGAAGTGAAGCGGAAGTTGTTTTCAGAGCTAGTGGCGCGAATGACTGGAATACGGCTTTCTCTGAATGAAATACACACAGATTTAGTTAATAAGTTATTCAGTTGTCTTATAAAATAGGTATTTATATGGGTACAGTTGCAGAAATGATAATAAAAATTAAGTTGAAATGAGATCAAAGTATTTTAGAAATTAGTTGTAATCCTCTGTCTCGCGGTAAGTCTTCGTTTGTTATTATAAGTGTTTGTTTTATTTTAATAACTTAAATAAATAAATGACTTGGTTTTTAGAGCTGTGCGACAGTATGACTCGCTTTGATGTCTTGTTTGGCCATATGTTTATGAGATTATCAAAACAACCTGCCATGAGAAGCTGATTGATCGTTGTTATTGTCATAAGTAACATCCGTTTTTTGTTTGATTTTTGTATTGATTTCCTATTTAACTTGTTAAAGCATAGAGACATGTTACATTACAGAATAACAACGTGCGATAACGGTGTACTAGCAGATGTTTACATGTTTCTTAATGATAGTATTAAGTCCTTGTACATTTGTTTTCCTTCCACCTAATTTAGATTGTAAGCCACCATGTCAAAAGGCAGCAGGGATGCATATATTGTGAAATTTGTTGAGCGCAATGGACAGAAGACTGATCTGGCTCTACAGGCCTATAAGGTGATACATGTGAAATTCTTCTTAATAGCTATCATTAAATGCCCCCTGGGTTAAAATAATGTATAGGCCTTTTGTTCATACAGTCATATGCTTGTCTTCAGGCAATAGTGGAACTTCAGTCAGAGAAGTATGTGCAGACGGTGGACGAGGAAGCCGCACTAGAGCTGGACCACAATGACAAATCCCTGTTTGTGTTCAGTGATTTCACCAGCAATTCCTTTGACCACTGCAGGAGGGTGAGGATTCACCTTCAACAGTGCACATAATCTGCTTTTTGCGGTGTATTTTTAATTGCCAGAATTTCAGTGCATCAATAATCTCTGTATTATTTACAAAGATGCTTCGAATGATGTAGAACTTCAGTTGTAATACCTGAACTCTTGTGTTCTGTCCATTTATGTTTCCCTAATTGTCCCCGTATTATTATAAATATTGATAGTCTTCTAAAACTCTGAATGTTTTTGCAGCTGGGATGCAGGATCGTGAGTCCTCTTGTAGTGCTGTTCTGTCTGCAGAAGCAGAGATGTGTTCCCAAAGCAGAGCAGCCTGTTTACAACATGGCAATGGCTGATATCACTATCTCCTGCACCAATCTCGACAAAGAGGCACGGGTACGGAGAAAACATTTATGATTAATGCTAAAATATTATTGTTATTTTGTCCACCTTTGCTTACATTAGCTGTAAACTGGAATTGAAATGGCGATACACTTATATGTGCAGTTCTGCACTACAAATAAGCAGCTGTTTTGTTGTTCTTGTAGAGTGAAGTGATGGATCTTGTCCAGCTGATGGGTGGACGGGTTTACCGTGATCTCAACGTGTCTGTTACTCACCTGGTGGCAGGTGAAGTGGGGAGTAAGAAATACCTGGTGGCCGCAAGCCTCGGGAAGCCCATCCTATTGCCCAGCTGGGTGAAAGCATGCTGGGAAAAGTCTCAGGATAGGTAACTCATTAACTTCTACACGGTCAAATTAGTTATTTAAAGTCACTATGAAATCAACATTGATAATTATCAGAGTATTAGAGTGGATTTTTTTTTATAGATATAAATTATTTATTTTTCTTTTTAAATTCACATGCCCTCGTAATCTTTAATCAAACTATCTCCTCGCAAAATTCACCCTAGCATTGACATCTCTTCTCTGCCTGTGCGTTCACACCGCCGCCGGCAAGAGCGGCAAAATTCGCTCTCGCCGCTCTGCCAACGACGCTGTGGAAAGATTCGTGGACGGCTGGACGCTCTGACGTAGATCGAAGGCTTGGTCTTTTTTAAACTATTTAAAGGGGCCGCAAAGCAAACATGCATGTCGATCGTTATTTTTGCAGACTGACCAAGTAGGGTATAAGTTAACCTCATGGAATCTTTTAAAAGTGAAAGTAATAAATTGATCGATGGAAAGAACTTAACAATTATAGTGACATGTTTGCTAACGAAATAAACCAATTAAAAGCCATTTGTGTGGTGTGGCTTTTGTGTTCATGGTTAAGTGCTAATCTAATTTGCATTCCCGCTGAAAAACAAGCGTTCTAGCGTGAAAATCTTGCCTATAAATAGTGTTGCGCGCCTTCTTATCAAATTCAAATGATCATCCTCTCCTCTATTTTGCTTGGGAACTAATGTGGTCGGAACAGGACTGCGTTCCCTAGAATCCTCTCAAACGGAACACTTCTAAATTCCGATTGGTTGCCGCCGAACCGCGTCATGGCTCATTACCATGAAGTTGACCTGACTTCAACTCTCTCCTCGCCGCTCTCGCCGTCCAAGACGCGCCGCCCTCGCCGGAGCTCGCCCGACTTCCGGCCACTTTGATGCTCTCGCCGGCGGCGGTGTGAACGCACGGCGATGAATGTCTACCAGGCAAGAGCTGGACAATAAGCAAATTTGTTCAAAATCAAGTATCTCCTTGTTTGATAAAATGTTTCAAAATGGATATGTCAGAATTCGGAAGAAAAGACGATTACAATTTTCATTTCAAGCTGACTTTAAAGTCGGCATGAAACGGAACTTGTGATAGTCTTTTTTCCCCTATTGTGAAATATAGCCGAGTGAAACAGCTTCTCGAACAAGAAAAAATGTAGGATGGACTACAAATAGTAGTCCCTCCCGCCGAAAAATAGAGGAGAAATATTCAAGTTATTTTGATTAAAGATAACGAGGGCACATGCATTTTTATTATTTATAATAAATCATTTATAATAAATATAATATTTGAATTGGCAAATTTGATTTCATGGTGACTTTAAAGGGATAGTTCACCCAAAATTTTTAATTCTGTCATCATTTACTCACCCTCAAGTTGTTCCAAACCTGTATGAATTTCTTTCTTGTTGAACACGAAATAAGATATTTTAAAGAAAATGGGTAACCAAACAGTTCATGGACACCATTGACTTCCATAGTCTCTGTCTAAAAACATCTCTTTTCCCCCTAGTGTTTTCCATCACTCTGAGCTGAATACAGAAGACTATCGGTGTCCAGTTCTTAAAGGCTGTACAGTGTGTGTGACGGGACTCTCTACTGTGGAGCGTAAAGAGGTTCAGAGGTTGTGCGGTCAGAATGGAGGAAGCTACACGGGGCAGCTCAAGATGAATGAGTGCACTCATCTCATTGTCAATGAACCCACAGGTGACCCCATAATCTCTGACCCCATCACAGTGTTTTGGGTTACAGTCTTAGCATGTTCTTCACTTCAATTTGTGTGTTGCATTTCAGGTCAGAAATATGAGTTTGCCCGTAAATGGAACGTATACTGTGTGTCCCTGCACTGGCTGTTTGACAGCATCGAGAAGGGCTTCTGTCAGGATGAGAGCAGGTATGTCATGGGGCGTGGAGAGAAGAAGAGAACCGAGGAGAAGGCGGGCAGACCCAACACGTCCACTCCTACAGGAGGCAGCAGGAGCAAAGAGGGTGCGGAGTAACCCTTTTTTGGGGGGGGGGATCATTTATATTTTTGTTCAGCAAGGATGCATTAAATTGATCATAAGTGACAGTAAAGACATTAATTAAATTACAAAATATTTCTATTTTAAATAAATGGCGTTCTTTTGAACTTAATTCATCAAAGAATCCTGAAAAAAAGGTATCACGGGTAGCAAAAATAAATAGGCTAACTTTTTTCAACATTGCTAATAATAAGAAATGTTTCTTGAACACCGAATCAGCATATTAGACTGATTTCTGAAGGATTATGTGACACTGAAGACTTAAGAAATGATGCTGAAAATTCTACTTTGACATCACAGGAATAAATTACATTTTAAAATATATTCAAAATACAAAACTATTATGTGCAATTGTTATAATATTTCACAATATTACTGTTTTTATTATATTTTTTATCAAATAAATGCAGCCTTGTTGAGCATAAGAGATTTCTTTAATAACCATTAAAAATCTTACAGACCCATGAACTTTTGAAAGCTAGTGTGTAAATTGACAATACACAAGATACACATAAAGCACAAAAACATCACCTGAATAAATCAATATTATCACTAATTCCTATGTCTGATTCATTTTGATTAATTGAATTTATTTTGTCATTTGTTTGTGCAGACGGTCCCTCACTTCTGGGATTGAGTCATATATCCAATATCAGCATGAATGTAAATGAAACGGCCCTCACCACTGCAGGAATCAGCCACATAGAGACTCCTGATCCGGTCGACTCATTTGACATCACTGTCTGTCGAGTAGA